TGGACTCGGTTGTTTCGTTACTGGGGTCTGAAAGAGACATGCAATACGGAGACCACGAAGTGACTACAGCACCAGCATGTTGAGCGTTATTAATTTCAACTGTGGAATGATGGAGATTTGCTTGCGAAATTCCCCGGCCAAGCAACTGATATCCAAGTGTCTACTACTCGTGGCTTAATTGACAGTGCATCACAAGTAGACCGGTATTGCATAGTAGCGTAGCTTCAGGTAGGAACTGATACATTGAGAGTTTTTGTGTGGCTGTCCAGATTGCGTTGAATTGTTAGCGGGGCGGCCGCGCCAGGAAGCTCTACACAGCCAAAGGGCAGAAGCTTCAGGGGTTGAGCAGGTCCAGGAGCTGCTAAGTGAGTGTAGCTCAAAGGCATTGTTCAGTGTTCCGCATTGGGGCAGCATCCCCCACAATGGGGGATGGGCAATGAGAGTTGAGACCAAAGATTCTTTGGATAGCTGCCAGTAATTGATAATGGAAGTGTCTTGCAGTCCTTATGTTTATTCAGGTTTCTGCCCAATTGCCAGGGAAACGGACAACGTAACTGTTGCTCGGCGGTTAGTGACTCATGTTGGAAAGACATTTTGAGGCGGAACGTCAGTGGTTTGTTTTATGCATGATTGCTTCCCGTTTTGTCGAGATTGCCATTCGACGGCGGTTCCCCCCCGTGAAAGTTGATTGAATATACTTCTCTCCTTTGATAGTGGGTCAACTCGTCTTTCAGACGCTCTACCATGTTGTTGGCAGGGAACCATCCAATGTTGTGAGCCTCGCAGCATATAGAAATCGAAACCTTGGCATGTACTTGTGCATGTCGTTTGGAATGGACAGTTTCAGTGGGTTGTTCTTCAATTCCCAGCACCGAAGTTGCTAGCTAGCTGGTTATTGGTTCCTTGTGGATGTTTGCAAGTAAGTGTGTGGTCTGTCCCTCTTTGCGACACCGTCCCAGCTGGTCGCAGCTTACTCGTAAGTCTTTGAGTGCAAAATTTAGGCAGCGGAGATTTCTACTTTAAATCCTGAGTCATTTTGATTCGACATAATCCACAATTGATGTATGGTTCAATAAGGCTGTTGTCGGCCTTGCAGAAGAATTTGCGGCATGCGATCGTTTGTGGGGTTGTAGAAAGATGGTTGTTTGCTTGGTTGATGATGAATGTATCGGCCGGCACATGCACCTGGCCTGGTTTCGATTTGAGTCTCTTGGGGCTTGTCAGGATAGGACAAGAGCGAATGACATGTGATAGGTTTGTTGAAAGAGTCTTAGTGAGTGTTTTGTGTGCAAAAGAGAATGGAAGCGGATCTGTACGAGGGGTGAATCGGCAGCATCGACCTCATTCATCTCTGTTACTTCTAGTACGGGTGGGAGTTAGTCTGGTTCAGGATGAGTCCGCTGTGGTGGCTCCTGACTGCTGCCCTGATTGTGATGACAACAGCAGCAAACGAGGAGGACCAGAGAAAGTGTTCTCTGTTTGATTCTATATCGTGGGTCTACATGTTTCCTTCCAGGCCCTGTCAAGACCCATTACCCATGGCCACCTTTACGCTGCGCCTGGGCTTTGCCAACCAAGTCTTTACCGCACCCTCTGTTACAGACACGGTCGCCTTGGTGTGTCAAATGAATCGCCACGTCCAACAACGACTTCGCAACCGAACACAAGACCCGCTGCTCCAATCGGCACTCGAACAAATCGCATTCTCTTCCGAACTGGATGCCAGCAACCTGTTGCCCACGTGGGAACTCCAGTTCCAAGTCACGGCCACCTTTGGGTACAACGGCAAGACCATTTCTCCGTGGACCATTGTTCGCGTCTTGGACCTGGCTCCGGATGACATTCGACATGTCCTGAGAGAATATGTGAGGCCTTTGGTGGACACGGTCTTTCCCCAAACGCAAACGCTCGTGTTGGAAAGTCAACTACTACAATCATCCACACCCGACAACAACAACGCAACCACAACAACCGTAGTATGGGACACGATGCCGCAAGTGTGTCCTCCTCCGCCATCTCCCGTGAGCAATATTTTTGGGCGTTTGACGGCCGTTCCAGGACGAGCCATTGAAAATGAACGACAAGGAGTCTTCGATTCCACACTAACCACTCCTCCAAAGGATGGTGGAATGACTTTGAACGACCACAGCAGGGCTAGAAATAACAACAACAACAACAACAACACTCCTCTATCCGACAGTATGTTTCAACGAAACCATCGAGTCGCCGTCACACTATCCTTTTGGATTGCCAACCATCGAGGCATTACCAACGCGACGTGGATTTCATCCGAATGGATGGAACCGTCCTTTTCCCGGCTGGTTGATCTCGCCGTTGCCGTTACCACCACCACGGCATCCCTCGCCGCCACGGTGCCTCGGGTCGTCCCGCACAGTGCCACGGTCGTTCAAGTGACGTCCACAGCATGTCCACTTTCAGACGAATGGCACTGTCACAAAGTAGTCGGGCAATACGAGTTGACGGTACAACAAGTGGGCATTCCCCTGCCAGTCGACCCCGCACGGTACACTCATGCCATGCGTCGAGCGATACAAATGGGTGTCTACGAACAGGATATTTTGCAGCAAGACGGTGTGCGGGTGGCCAATGAGCTGGAAGGACTACTACCGGTGCTCCTTGACAACGGCACGACCATCGATGTCAACAACAACAACGATTCGATTTCTGGAGTAGAGACCAAACATGACATGGCCGCCATTGTCATCCCGGTCATCGTTGTGCTCGTACTCGTACTACTGGCAGTCTTGGTATATCTACGACTGCGTGTACGTCGGAAATTGCAACTCCTTCAACGACAACGAGAGACCGCATTGTGGGAAATGGAAGCATTCTTGTTGCCGCCTTCTTCACCGTTGGAAGAGTATCTCGAGCCGTCTCGAAGCAAAATTCATGGGTTGGAATGGGAAGAAACTGTTTGAGTGTGGGGGCTAGCTAGAGATGAGGGGCAGTGTGTATTACTACTAATTGTTAGGGGTTACAGTTTCCTGCAGGAAACGAACGGACATGTCAAGTCGGGACTACGCCAAGGCGTTCCATGGCCGCAAGAGGAGGGCGACCAAATTCCGCCGAGAGCCCGGATGTACAAGTGCTTCCCCACGGGGATCGCCCGCAAGAGGAAGGCGACTCGAGTTCGCCCTCTGGGCGGTTGGATCGCCAGCTCAAGTTCCGCCCTCTGGACGGATGTACAAATGCTTCCCCAAGCCAAAAACCGTTCACGCGAGTGCCATTGGTCCAACTTAAAAAGGACAAGACGTCAATGGTGCGCGGTAAGGACAAGACGTCAATGAGGCCCGGTATCTATGATAGGCAGGTACGGTAGGGTATCTTGCGAACGGCGTCGCCTTGCGGTTCGGCGACCGCCTTCTGAGGTTGGTGCCTCGACCAAAGGCACCAACGAGAAAATGTATAATATACATAATAAAGTAGACATTCATAATCCAGCCATGCCGGAGGCTGGCTATCTGTATCTAGGCTCTACTCGGAGGCAGCAAATGTGCATTGGGTCTACCGGTGCAGTAGCTATTAATTAATAGTGTGGCGTCCAAACCGGCAATGGGTCGAAACGTTCCATCAGAAACATTATTAGCTAGCTAGCTACTGCAGGATGGACGGCTTGTCAAGTACTGGCATGGCGCCCCGAATATTGGGTTGGGTACGCTAGGTGTGAGACCCAAGATCGAGATTCGTGACGAAGTAAGTTCTTCGTGGCTTTTCAGATTATCAACATGCTTTTCGCCTATGAGGGGGCGTGACTGGGTTCGGTGTTTCGAGAGCTGCCACTGTACACGAGTACCGTAGTAACTCCTCTTTGGACCGCTCTTGAAGAACTTGCAAGCATAACTACAACCACCAAACTATCAAGCAATAATCCCATGATTCAGCTCTTACATTCTGGTTTGCTGAATGCTATCAGCTCCTGTTGGTGGCGTTGCTGCATCTAAGAACATCAGCCCTGTCCCTATTTATCTCCTCGTGTTGCAAATTGTCATTTTTAGAAGTTCTCCCACAAGCCACCAGCCATCCTCGAGTGCAAGGGGGTATAGCTGTGCTCGAGGAGAATTCTATGCCAATGAAATGATCCATGTGGCGCATGGAGATGTCAACACGGTTGGCATCATCTGAATGGTACATAAAGACCTCGCATTCCCTCGTTGCGCGCCTTCCTACTTAATGGACATGCGTCACAGCCAGCTAGCTTGTACTGGACCTCTGTGGAAACTCGAGTCGTGCAACCGATCGTCTCCTAAATCCTTTTGATCGTCTTCTATTTAATGGATTTCGTCCCCAAAAATAGGAGACGAAACGGATCGTCTCTTAAATCTTTCGTCTCCTCTTGAATCGTCTCCTATTTTCAACGGATCGTCTCCTATTCATAACGGATCGTCTCCTAAGTGTACCATGTAAACTGTATGGTATCGTCTCCTAAATCTTTCGGATCGTCTCTTATTTGGAATTTGGAAACGATCGTCTCATAAATGGAATGTCTCTTATTGAATCGTCTCCTAAATATAGGAGACGATTGCTTTCGTCTCTTAAATCATTTCGATCGTCTCCTAAGCCTTGGTGTATCGTCTCCTAAGTAATTTGCCACGAATGACGTTTCCACAGAGGTCCTGTACCAATAGTGGTATCATACATGCTACCGGTAGCTATTTTAAAATAGTAGCTACTAGCTAGCTAGTACCGGTAGACTTCACCAAACTTTCCAGACGATCGTGAATTGTGAGTCTGGCCAAAGATTGACAATCATTGGTGCCGAAGATGACCGAGCAGTCATGGGAATGGCATCTTTTTACTCAATCTTCTTCTTTTTTTAATCTTCTCCCATTGTTGTTGTACCACCGAAAGCTGAACAGCACAGAAAGGGATTGCTTTGTTGTACTGGTACCAAAGGAACCCAACAGCCATCTGCTAGCTAGCTAGTACCGATACGAGAAGAAGCCTGGACAACCGAAGCCTTGACAACCAAGCTGTTTGAAAGTCCAAACAGTCGTCACTTGGCAGTCTCCTCTATCTTGATTTATCTTCATTGTGCGGCTTGGCGGCGGCCATAACAATACCAATAGCATCCATCATGAGGAGTTCTACCCAGTTTCTCCGAATGCTCTATTCTGCAGTCCTGCTTCTGCTGCTTCTGTCCCCAACAGTCGAGGGTCAGCAATATGACGGAGAATATCTAATTTACGATTTTGCATTCTCCTTTGCCAGGGGAGAGTTTCCAGACTCGGATCCTTCCGTCGATCAAATGAACCTCTTTCTGTGTGCGCATAATGCCTACTACACGGATCGATTCCGGTTTGGTCTTGGCAATGATTCTGTCCTGTTTGAATCCATCCACATTGATTGGGAATTGACCGCCAGTACTCGTACATTGGACATTCAACTGGCGGCAAATGTGACGGCGCTCGATGGGACGGACATTCATGCCGATGCCATTTCCAGTGTCATGTTGGGTGTGGATTTTGGAATTGACGATGTCGACTATGTGGAACAGGTGCTTTGGCCACTGGGAGATATTTGGGCTCAAGTCAACTCCATCAATAGTGATCGGAATCCGGGAGTTCCACAGCAACCGGGAAAGATGGAGCGGGCTGATTGCGAGGGATTGACGCAACCACCACCTCCCGAGGGAGATAATTCCAATGCAGCAGCTGCAGACGACAACAGCGATCCTGGAGCTGGAGCTGTCACCCGACCTACTAGTGGAGAAACTGGGGATGGCAACGACGACAGCGACGGTAACGGCATGGTTAGCCGGCCAACAGTGGCAACCACGCTAGTTCCAACGATGGTGACCACGACTCCACCGTCGGTGATGGCTTCCCCTACTAGTGCCGGTACGTGTCAATAGGGGAAACCACCCTTCTGTTCTGGATTTGTTTGCAAGCAAGCAAATCAAAAGGGGAGATAATTGGCACTGCAAAACTTACCTTCTTCTGGTGTTGTTGCCTACGATCATGCAGCTGACAGCATTGTCTACTTCAGCCTGGAGTATGGATTTTCTCCTGGCCAGGCTCGAGATCCTGCAGTGGAAGAGATTGAAGGCTTGATTTGTCAAACCAACCTCTTCTTTCAGGAAATGCTGCAAAATTACACGGATGATTCATCGATTCAGGTACTAGCAACCAACATTGACTGGGTTTATTTGGCTGATGAACTGGAACCTGTCAAGGTCAATTTCACAGCCAATGCTACTGATGGGAATGGCAATGCTGTGTCTGTAGAAACTGTTATTGGTGCAGCTGGTGAGGCAGTCACAACTGGACAAATCTTTGTATACATGATGGAGTATTTGCGGGCCACAGGTTCAGACAATGTGTTCCAGCACACCGAAACTGTAAACTTGGAAGGTACTGCTGTTGATGTCACGAATGTGCCTGTCGGGCAGCTCATGAGTGTGACCTGCCCTTCAGCAATGCCTTCCATGACGCCAACAATCTCCTCAGCACCAACGGTGTCCATGGCACCAACTTCTGTCAGAGACCAGATGGTCCACTTCAACCTGGAGTACGCCATGTCTCCAGAGCAGGTACGGGATCCTACACAGGAAGACATTGAGGATTTGATCTGCAAGACCAACCAATACTTTCGTGACAAGTTGAAGAACTATACAGGTGATACAACCATTCAATCAGAAGCCATGTACATTGACTGGGCCTATGCAGCAGATGATGCACTGCCTGTCAAGGTCAACTTCACTGCCAATGCTACCTATGGCAATGGTAACATTGTTCCTGAACAAACAGTTTTTGATGGTTTGCAAGTTGCAATGGATGATATCATTCTCTACATTGAAGAGTATGTTTGGGGAACAGATTCTGACAATGTGTTCTTTTACACCGAGGCTGTGAACTTCACAAGTCATGTAGATCTTCCTGTTTCTTTTTGGCAGCTGGAAACTGTGAGTTGCCCAGAAACACCCATGCCTTCCTCAATGCCTTCCATGATGCCAACAATCTCCTCGGCACCAACCGTGTCCATGGCACCAACTTCTGTCAGAGATCAGATGGTCTACTTCAGCCTGGAGTATGGATTTGTTGCAGGTGAAGCTAGAGATCCCAAACAGGAAGACATTGAGGATTTGATCTGCAAGACCAACCTTTACTTTGGTGATAAGTTGAAGAACTATACGGGTGATACAAACATTCAATCAGAAGCCATGTACATTGACTGGGCCTATGCAGCAGATGATGGACTGCCTGTCAAGGTCAACTTCACTGCCAATGCTACCTATGGCAATGGTGAAATTATTCCTGAACAAACAGTTTTTGATGGTTTGCAAGTTACAATGGATGATATCATTCTCTACATTGAAGAGTATGTTTGGGGAACAGATTCTGACAATGTGTTCTTTCACACTGAGGCTGTAAACTTCACAACTCATGTAGATCTTCATGTTTCATTTTGGAAGCTGGAAACTGTGACTTGCCCAGAAACACCCATGCCTTCCTCAATGCCTTCCATTCGTGTCATGCCTTCCGTTGGTGCCACTCCTACCAATCATCCATCCATGCCATCTATTGCTCCGTCAATGTCACATCAGCCATCTATTGCTCCTTCATTCTCACATGCCCCATCCATTTCCGCTTATTCTACTCTTCGATTCACCTTCCTGGTTTCCAATTTGGATGGAATTGAGGATCCCTATCAAGTTCTTGACAAGGGTCTGTCTTTGTCATGGGAGATCCTTGTTGAGAAAATTGTGCGTGAGAACCAGAACAACATTTTCCAACGCCATATGCTTGGGTTTGGCCAAAGATTGCTACGAGTGGATTATATTGGGGGAAGTGCGGTTATTGAGCCAGGCTCTATCAATCTATCAGAGTGCCCTCCTGAATCTGATTCGCGTGCAACCTGTCACAATGTTGTTGCCTGGTATTCCCTGTGGATAGTTGATGAGGAGGATCCAAATAGGCTGAAAGCCGAGATCACAGCCATCACTGATACTTCAATAAGAGATGGGACCTTTCAGAGTGTTCTGGATAACGTATATTCGATTGATACACCACTGAGGATTGGCACGATAGTTGCAAGTCCATCAACAAGTCCATCTACAAGTCCATCAACAAGTCCATCAACAAGCAATCTGCTGCCTTCATCAAGTCCTGCAGGGCGACCAACCCTACCTCCCAACGCTGGACCTGTCACCAAAATACCTGTTGGATTCGGATTCCTAGTTTCCAATTTGGATGACATCACCAATCCTAACGAAGTCAATGCCAGTGGCATTTCTGCCTCTTGGCCAGTCTTCGCTGATGAAGTTGTGTTCAACATAACGCGCAACAGACAAAATAGTAGAGGCAATGCTCGCCACTTGTGGGGAAATGGACGCAGGCACTTGTTGGTGTACGGGGGGGTTGAACCTGGAACCTCAACTATTGATACTCTTGTTCTGGCAGAGTGCCCTGCAGACTATCATCCAGATTCTACCTGTCACAATGCAGTTGCATTTTATGTTCTGTTGGCCTATGGTGCATTTCACACGGAAGCACTCAAGGCAGAGTATGCTATCATCACAGGAGAAGCTATCAACAATGGAACCTTTCAGGGGGTCATGGAAAAGGAGTACATTAACAGTCCTCTGTTCATTGGCACAGCTCCGGTTGGAAAGGATGTTGCTACTGATGAGGCTGTGGAGGAGGACAAGTTTCCGGGATGGGCAATTGCTTTGATAGTCATTGCTGCCCTACTTTGTTGCTGTTGTTGTCTTCCGGCACTTCTGTACTTCGCTTCTCGGAACAAGCAAGGTCACGTCGGCACCTACCCCGAGGCAGACGAGGATTGCGAAGTCCATGACGTATCGAATGAGATGGACTATCCGAGTGAAGTCAAGGGCAAGAGTGTTGATGGAGGGGAAGACAGTTCGATAGAAGACGCATGTACAGCCTCAAGTGACGGCAGAGAACCCAATACGATCGTTTCCAGCCATTTGGAACAAAGGCAGGGCGATGGAGACAAGACAAAAAGTGACGATTTTGGTTACGAATCGAACAACGCTTCAGATGATATTGGGGGCTCCGCTGACTTGTGGGATGAAAACACGGATGAAGAAATGGCTTCAAGAATTGGAGGGAACAATTCTTTTGCCAAAGAGTCGGAGCAATTGCTTCTTGGCAAGCAAAACGACGAATTGGTAAGCGAGCCAATCTGGACCGATTTCGAAGACGCTGGCGACGCGCTTCCTTTGTTTGAGGGAGGGGGGGCTGAAGCTGATGGGGAGCTTGACGAATCTTTGGCCGCTTCGATAGGGCAAAGTGAATACGCCGTAGAAGCTCAGCGTGCCCTTCTGCAGAAAGGGAGCCAAGAAGACTTGGGCGAGCCCTTCGTGACTGACGACGAGTACGAGTATCAGGATGAAGGGGATAGTCCCTTCGAACTATTGACATCGTACGACACGAATGCCACCCTCGACGAGGAGTTGGCTTCCGCTGTAGGGACAAGTGAATCAGCGCAACGCTGGAATCGCCTGCTCTTGGAACGGGGCAACGATGAGACTGTGACTCAACCATTCGACAGTGGAAGAGATGCCCACGATAATTTGATTGGTTCCAAACAGGGCGAACTGGTTCATCGACCTGATAAAGGAACGGGGAGCAATGATGACAGTCATGGAACGGGCAGCATTGTAGCAGTGGCCCACGCAGTCCCACTCACTCACGAAGATGAAGCTCCAGGGCTGGCTGAGACTTCAGAGTATTCCACAATGATGAGCACAGCCACCATACCGGTAGGCACAGCTACCTCAAACACCCCATCCACTTTTGCTCCACCTGGCCACCCCCCTCTTGAACAAACCAGCCAACCGCTGGGCCACCTTTCAGAGCAAACCTACCAATCAACAGAACGAAGTCCCTCGGATCCCGCTGCGTGTAACAGCATTCCCTCCGTGTTCAGGCCTCCTGCCTATAATCCAAGTTACAACGGACCCACTTCTGGAAGAATCTGAAGTTTGAATCGATAACTTAACTCCTTGAACTAATTCGAGACCCCGTGGGGTCAACCGCTACTCCTTATCTTAGCCCTTCCTCCTACTTTCCGCGTTTGGCCTTTTCCTTTTTGATCAGCTCCGCTAGATCTTCTTCTTCTGAAGAAAATTCATCATCGAACCCTTCAGATTCGAAGGAATCATCATCGGTGCTCTGCTTGGGATTATTGCCCTTGTTCTTCTTCAGGAGCCCCTGCTGCTCGTCATCGGATGACATGAAGTCGTCGTCATCGTCGTCGCTCAGCTGGACGGACACTGGACCAGGGTTGCCGCCAGATCCGCTTCCACTTTCGAACGAGTCGTTTTCCTCCTCTTCTTCCGAGAAAAACCTGTCAGCGTCGTCGGTATCGTCCGCTTCTCGAGACGCACTTCCAACGCTCGCAGGACCTGGTTCCGGAAGGCTCTCTGAGCTGTCAGCGTGGCCGGTGTCGTCTGCCTCTCGAGACGCACTTCCAACGCTCACGGGTCCTGGTCCCGGGAGACTCTCTGTGCTATCTGCAGCAGGTCCCGGCTTTGAAGGACTCTCAGTGCTACCAGGACCAAGGTTTGAGGAGCGGGCTCTATTCTGCTTTCGCTCTAGCTTTGCGATACTCTTGTTTGCATCTCGAAGCCTGATACGCAAATCCTCCACAGCTGATTTCAGATCACCGTTTCGTCGTGTAAGCATTTCGTTGGCTCTTTTGGTGACGTCTAATTCGAGTTCCATGCCGTGGAGGCTCATGAGACTGTCGTCATCCTTAACACCTTTCTCACCATCGTCATCTTCATCCTCCGATTCGTCGTCATCACTGTCGCTGTCTCCATTTGCTTCATATGACCGGACGCGCCATTTGGACATCCAGGGCATCAATGCCAGCACAAAGAGAAGTCGCCAGTATGCACCCGCTCGAGAGCCAAAATCGTTATGGTACAACTTCAGCAGGTACATCAGCCCCAGCCGTTCGAGATACGGATGCCGGTGCTGGTAACGACAGAAGTTCAGCCAACTAACGTTGTCAGAACGGAATATCTGGACGCCAACGCGTCGAACTGGCACAAAAGAGAGCCAAACGACAACTTACCGCCTCGTGAATAAGGAGATCTCGCTTGAAATTGAAGTGTTCGAAGTCCAACGCAATGGCCCCCACATAGCCGACTCCAGGGGAGAATACTGGCACGTCGATCCTGCCAATATAGTAGATGGTCGTACCCAGGAGCTTCACGGCGCGATACCATATTAGCCCCATCATCACCACCAAGTTCCAACTTTCCGTCAAGACGTTTATGAGGTTAACGACTGCGGGGTGCCTTCGAAAAAAGAAGCTGACGTAGAGGTCTCGAAATAGTCTGTTGACCAAGAAATCAATAAGCAGAACAGCATGAAACCCAAAGAAGAGTGCCAGCAGCGCCACAGCAGTTGTTGTTGTTTCCTGGTTGTCGAAATCATCCGCGTTTGAGTGGCATTTTCATTCTACACAAACGATTGCGCAAACAACAACCTACTCACCGACCAAACTAAAAAGAAGCATAAACCACCAGCAAACAACCCCGCAAGCAACCCCGAGTAAGCAGCTCCCCACAGAGCCGACCCCAACAACCACGTAACTTGATTTGGTGAAGTGCGAAGATACTGGAATGCCTCCCCGCCCTTCAAACTGGTCAAGATTCCGCAACGGAACTTGAGAACTGTTGAAACAAACGAGGGAATGAAGACGACAGCAATGCCAACAGTTGCGACAACGGCTGCTGCGAGGCCCACGGATGAAGCGGCCTGGAATCTGATGAAACAAGAAACCAAATTGTGAGCAATTAGGTCACTGGCTGGGGAGACCACCCCGAAGGATGCACACAGCAATACTCACTCCCCGTCTTGCACTCTCGCGACGATCTGATTGCCATTCAAGGGGACGATGGCAACTCCATCAAAAAGATACTCTCCATTCGTGATGTGGGTGCCGTTTGTTGCGAATTGTGCATATGAGTAGAATATTTCACCATCCGTAAAGTGTGTCGAATTATACCGAAAGAACTTGTCAAAGACATGGGTCCCATTGTGTGAATAGATAGTGTGCGCCCAAAAATTTGTGCCGTCCGAAAAGTGCGTCGAGTTCACGTCGTAGATAATGTTTGGATATACCCCAGATCCATCCGTGTAGTGAGTGGAATTGTATTCCCTTACGATTTGAAGGCGTCGCATTAAATGTCGTTGTCTCGCCAGAGCATTGCGATGTCGCTGCCGTTGCTGCCCTCTCCCATGATAGTGAGATTGTTGTTCTGCTCTAAACAACGCATGCAGATTGTCAATATTTGTCGAAACTCCTTCTTCCAATCGTCGTTGTCCCACCGCAATAGAGTTGGCCTTGGTCTCTTCAAACCACGCCACCAATGCAACGTAGAATATCACCACGCCGGCAATCACAAACACTTGTGCGACGTTGCTGGTAATCAATCGCGACGACAACCAAATTCCTTCTTCATCAAAGAGCCTACCATCAATGATCCGTTGAAACGCCCATGCTACACCCCCCACCGTTTCGCATGTATTCGCTTGTTCCATGTCCCGGTAATGCTCCAACGCCCGTGCCATCCCCTCCCCACGCGTCAAGGACTCAATATTGCTGCCTTCTCGATACTTGTGTTTCTTTTTGCGCCGATTCTTTTTCAATTCTTCCAAATGATCCTTGTGCCATTGCCATGTCGCTTGAATCACTGCGGGGGATGTATGCCGGGCGGGGTACTTCCACCCTTCGCTCGACTTCAACGTTTCGCCGGATTGTACAGGGCTGACGTGAAGTACCATGGCATTTTCGACTACAATATTCACCTTTTTGGTCGCAGCCTCTTTCAGTGCCTGCTCGCCACGACCCTTGCCACCCACTCCCAAGGACCCCAAAGGAGCAAAGACGTCAATAAGTCGTAGGAATTGCAAACACAGCAAAACCACACCCAGCGCAAAGCAGAACCAATGCAAGGGTTCCCACCCATCGGCCTTGATGGAGTTCCAAATAAAGACATCTCCCTGTACAAAGTTGGGTATGACCGTGGCGCACGTCACCACTCCCATGGCAATCATTACTCGGAATGCCGTGGCTACTTTGGCACTCCCCAACTCGTCTCCCTTGTGGGTTGTCGCATTGCCACCACTGCCCAATGTAATGTACAAGAATCCAGGCACTCCCACTTGCGCCAATACAATCAACCAATTGACAACGGCGGAAGCCACATCGCATCCGAATTCCCGTTTACAGGAATTGAAACTGACAAAGCCATTCGGATAATCCCAGACATAGCAAAAGTAGTGCAATACCAGTGTCACCCACAACAAGACAAACCACAAGATACTTCGATAGTTGTCGGCAGCTTGATCTACTTGTGCCATGGTAGTAAAGTCATCCTCCATGGAGCTCTTGTCGCTGTCGCCGCTTCCATTATTCCGATTGGCATTTTGTGCATCTTGCAAGTGTGTTGTCGTAATGGAAGCTTCCATTTCCTCGGGATCGTAGAGTTGCACATCGTACGTGAGTGCTCGCAAGAAGGAATCCTTGTTCAGCATGACGCGCGGAGCTCCATCTCCGCGTTTGCGTGTTTTGAGATGCACTTCCTCCGACTGATCGCTATTGTTGTCATTGTCGCTATTGTCGTCGTCTCCTCCATTTTGATGTCGTTCTTGGGCCTTGACGGCTTGTTCCACCATTTCTTCCAAGACATCATCCGGGACGTCGTATTCCTCGTAGGCTTGAAACATGAGTTGGAGTAGCTTTTTGGTAATTTTGGTTCCCGTTTCAAAGTTTTCGTCAATGGCTTTGAACGGTTGCAGATCGACGCCCTTGATTTCGAGTTCTTCCATAATGAGTTTGAGGACTTGCTCGACAATCCCGTGATTCAACGAATGGGTGGGTTTGGCTGCCTCTGAAATGTCTTCGCGTCGTAAAAAGGGTATCAATAGCAGCGTGATCATTTGACAGAGATCCATGACGGTGGGTTCGACGTCTCCGAATTCGTTGGTTTGTTTTCCATCTTCCGGGACGTAGTGACCACAGAGTTGTTGCAGTATTTGTTCTTCAATCACCGAGGGATCGACATAGACGCCGTGACGACTCGTCAAGTAATTGCGAATGTCCTTGGCTGGAGTATCATTATCATTATCAATAGAGAAAGGAAGAAAGATAAGAAAGATCAGCAAACAGAGAAGAAAGGGGGTATCTCCATCACAACGAAGACAGACGGATAGAAGGATGGGGGTATACGTATACCCTCTCTCATAATGGCAAGACAGACTTACCATGGATGGTTCCATCCGTACGAATCTCTTCTGGGATGGTCTGATGCAGAGCACATATATATTCCAACTCGGAAACGTCGGCAGGAGCTCCTACCGGGCGTTCGAATTGGATACCCTGGTGCTGAGGAGTTCCCACCATTGCTTTCTTGCTTTTCGATGCTGCAGAGGGATGTATCAGGCTGGCTGTTTGTAACGAACAAACTTATACCGGTGGCTTTAATTAATTTAGGTAACCTGAACGAAGACTATAACTGAACTGAACGATGCTTGGTTGCTGATGAAACTAGATAGCTTGCTTGCTCTTCTGAGAGTAATGTACGGGGATCGCTTTGCAAACTGGCCAAGACGCCATCGTCGCGCTTTCCTTCAAAACGTTCTGGAAAAATCGTCCCACGACTAGCAACAAGCCAGCAGAAAGTGATAAACATCTCGTTGAAAGAGAATGATGAATCTCAATCATTGGCCGGGGGGGCGGGACAAGCTCATCAACTTCAGACGGACCCAACATTTATTTGCAACTGGATCTACACCCTGTGTTTGGATCTGCATCCACTACTCTACCGGTAACCCTCCAGAGCATCACATCCATCCTTCTCAGTACCGGCATTGTACGACCGCAAGCTCGGGGAAAGCCCAGGAAATTTGTCTGCAAATAAATGGTTGGTGTTTACAGTTGGTTGTATCTGGTACCCGTACTAGAGTACCGTTACCTCGACTCGGCCCGACTCATCGCTCCGATCTTGCCTCCGAGGTGTCACGTCGCACCCTTCTTTGTCCGTGAACCGGTAGGGTAAGGTACCGAATGGTTCGCTGTAGGACACGTGTCCTGCCTGAAGGGATGGCACCTATCTCCTTCCTTCCCGTCTTATCCACCAGACTCGACTCACTCCAGTACGCAACAGCAATGGGTGACAACTTTAATAAAAAGAAGTTTCTGGCTAGCTACGGGACATTACTGTACTGCTCTGCTGCTCCGGTAGCTGGTAGCTACCATTTATTTGCTACTAGCTAGCTAGCCACCAAATTGGAGTTTTCGATCTTGGTGGCGAAAAGGAGTTTCTCCGTTGTAATAACGAAGGAATATTACCGTAGGTACGCTGTACACGTAGAACCAGAACGTCTAGCTGTTTGCATTCGGTCACAATCACATATCGCAACATCGCAACCATTCACTCACCTGTGTTAAAGTACGGTACTGTAAAGGTGACTTCCGGGAATACGGAAGCTGAAAATTGAGGATCCTGGAAAGTTGTCGAAAACCACCCGATGGTTTCGGGGTGATCCCTAAGTGCCCCCTAAGTAAAACAATTTAGCTTTAAGTATCATGTCACACATGAACTTATTGTGTTACACCATAAGTGAAGTCTTTTCTGGCCACATTCAATGATTGGCTAAGAATAACGGCTTTTTGATCGTGGCACAAATGGCTTGAAGATGCAGCTGCCCGCGTTGTGACAACAACAGCAGACAACTACCACTCATCAGGTCTGATTTACTTTCTTTTCCTCTGAAAAAGCAGGAGCCAAACAGAATACGACTGTTGCTTCAAATCCATTCCACGCCATGGGAAACCCCCCAGAGACACCATGAGACAACAAGAAGGGCAACAGCGACCCCAATACGCCGCCACCAGCAAAATCAACAAGCAGCCACAACACATCCCCCAATGACGGCGCTGATGTTACTGAGTCGACCGCAGGCGGCACCGGAAACCTCGAATTCCTGGACGGCGGGCCGTTGGATGTAGTGGAAGGAAGCGACTGAGAAGAAGAGGAGGAAGAACTCCCAGTAGAAATCCAGGATCGTGTTTACTTAATAGGTGAACAAGGAGAACTTGAGCTACTTGAAGATCTGGAGAAGCACGGCCTCGAGGACTACGACTGCCACGTTGACCTGGACGATGAGGGAAGAGCGCATTTGAAGATGCCCACCGACATGCATCAAATGGCCGTCAAGGCTATTGAGTATCAGTTCACTGATGGCCAATCCGAGCCACTCTGCACTGCCTTTGATCCCAACGTCAGAGTTACCAAAGGACCGAAAAAGAAGAGTCCTGATCTGGCTGTCTGGGAAAAAGAACGGCTCAACAAGATCAAAGTACCCAAAACCGTGGGCATCGGAGGAAATGAGTTGTTCAAACCAAGAATGAATCCACATGTGATTATCGAGTTATCATGGACAAACAAACTGAAAGAAAATTTGATTCCAAAGTTCAACCGTCAAATGAAGGATTATGTCAAAGACCTGGGTCAAATCAACCTTGGCTTCCTTATCAAGGCAAAGGCTGCTAATGGAAAGAAATTAGCTAAAGAAGAAGAGGCCGCCAGTGTTCCACTTTGTGGATTTGATGTTTACAAAGCTGAGAGCGGTGAGCAACTGACACCGGGTCAACCACCATTCCTCAAGTATCGCATTGGAGTGAACAAAGATGCATCTATTGCCATTCCTGGCGGGTGCCTGGGTGAGGGTGAGTACAATGATATTGCACTACGCTAAAAGCTAGTGTAAAGATCTTTCGAGTGTTTTGAGTTTGAGAGAATGAAAGTTATGAGAGAGATTAGAAAGCTATGAAAACTAATCAACGAGAGAGATCATCATCAAGGGATCGTAGATCTGGTCTCCCGCGGGAGACTGTAAAGTGTGATAGAGTAGGTTGCAGTAGTAATCCTACGTATCTCCACGATCCTAAAACGGAACGCGTGGAAGGTTTGTCTAGCATGGATCTAGTAACGTGGAAGTACTCCACGCTGGCTAAATATCTAGAGCGATGTTTCATCATCAACCTAGTATGACTAGAGCGGTCATTGAGAACCCTGTCTCGAATGACTATTCACGAGAGACTCAGTCATGAGTCGAACTCAAACCCTATCTAGGATCGAGTCGCGAATAAGGCTAAGAGCCGTGTATTGCATTCGCCCCCTGACAAGGGTCACAGAAGGCGCGACAGCAGTCGGACAAGGAGAACATATGATTTAAAGTGCGGGGCACTCTCATGAGATTTGGATGTAGACATGTGCGTCGCACGATGGCAATCCTACAAGGGGATCAGGCCTTGTATGGGTGTATATACCTTATGTTCCAAGTCTGGTAGACTGTGCCGCCATTGGCGGTAGCATGTCGGAGCCGTACAGTGCCATTGTCATTGACTCGGTCTATAGTGTAAGGACCTTTGTACTTTGGCTGACCGTACTTGCGGTGCTGATACTGTTGAACCATCACGGTATCGTTGACATTGTATTGATGAGGGACACGCGTCGCGTTTTCCCTATCGTTGTTCTGTTGGATTAGTCGTTGGCGACGTTCCTTGATGTACTTCCAGTTGGCTTCGAACCGGACGTTGTGAATCGCGTCACGATTGAACACGAGCTGCGCGGGCGTTGCACACAAGGTGGTATGAATTGTGGCGTTCATTGCAAAGCGAACCGCCGTGAGGACTCCATCCCAGGATCCATTCACGAGGTCGTCTTGGCACTTGATGTTTTGAACAGCGATCAAGTTGCGTATGGTCTGATGAGCACGCTCGACCATAGAGTTGGCTTGAGGGTTACGCGTAGTGATGAACTTGCGACGAAGTCCATATTCATCCCGGAGTGTCTTTTCGACCTCTGCGCGGAACTCACGTCCTCTATCCATGATAACCTCAGCAGGCCATGGATACCGAGTAAGCCACGTTTGTTCTAGGACGATGGCTACTTCGTCTGCTGCCTTGGAGCAGATCTCTGCAATCTCGAACCATCCGGTTACGGGATCAATCATTGTCAAGCAATGAAGTGTGCAGGAATTCTTTTTCTTAGGATCCCCGACGTTGTAAGGACCTATCAGGTCAATACATAGTCTTTCCCAAGGGATCTCCTCGCAAGTCTTTGGAGGCATCAATCCCAGCTTACGCGTTTTGGGTTTGTTCATCTGGCAGCTCTGGCAACGCTGACATACGGCCTGCACAGTCTTGCGCAGTCCTTTCCAGGTGTAGTGTTGGCTGATGGTCAGTTCTGTGCGAGTCTCGCCAGGATGCATCAGTACACCATGGTACCATTCGACTAGCTTCTTCTGCATAGTCTTAGGTACGACGATCTTGTCGTCTTTGACTACTAAGTCGTAAGACTTATCCCCTCTGGGGAAAGATTGTTTCTTGTAGTCGTTTGGCTTGTCCCTGAGGAGTTTCTTGATGTCGTTGTCGTCCTTCTGACGATGTTCGATCTCGGGGAACGAGAGAGGGAACTCGCTAGGGAAATCCTCTTCGTCTGCAGCCATGAGCTCAGCGATCTCGCTGGCTTCCATCTGTTCTGAAGAACCATCATTGTTGGAGATGTTAAGTCTCGACAACGCATCAGCGACGATGTTCTGTTCGCCCTTGATGTACCGTAGTTCAGGGCCGTATTCTTCCAGAATAAGGCGCCATCGCATTACGCGATCGGTATTGAAGTTCTTACATGTAAGATTCTTGTGGTCCGTATGTACAACAATCTTCTGTCCTAGAAGAATGTTACGGAACTCTTTCAGAGTTTCTACGATACCGAGAAGGAACTTCTCGGTAACGGTGTAGCGTGTCTGAGCAGGGTTGAGCTTCCTGCTGTAGAACGCTATAGGTTTTCCCTTCTGGGAAATTACTGCACCTAGTTGAGTATCACTCGCATCCGTGTGGATAACGAATGTATCGTTGAAGTCAGGGTAAGCGAGCAAGGTTTCTTTGCTGATGATCTTCTTCATCTGGCTAAAGGCTTTGTCGTGTTCGGCTTCCCATTTCCACTTCGTTGTTTTGGAAGTCAATGAAGCGAGTGGAGCCAGTACATGTGATCGTCTAATCCACATGTCTCGATAGTAGTTCACTAGTCCAATGAATCTACCAGTTTCTCTGTTGTAGGAGGAGGATATTCTTATCGCGTCTATTTTCTTGGTTATAGGTTGGATCCCTTCTCGAGGAATCCAGTAACCTAAGTATTCAAGTTCTCCTCTTTGAAGAAGGACTTGGTAGCATGATCTTAAGTCCGGCTTTCTCGAAGCCTTCGGAGAACTCATCCAACTTTTCAACGTGAACTGCCAGATCGCGTTAGTTAGATGAGTAGATCATCAATGTATCACGGACGTATTCTAGGTCGTGCATTAGTGTTCCCATCTTCTCTTGGAAGATGTCGGGACTATTACATAGGCCCATTGGCAACCTCTTGGTATCGTACTTTCCCCACGGAGTACGATAGTACAGATTGTTTCGAGTGAGGTGACAGCTCGATGTGATAGTATCCATGTTCAGGTCTAGACTAGTGGCGTACTTGACTCCGTCTAGGTTCAAGAGCATGTTCTGTATTTTTTGGGATAGGATAAGACTTCGCTTAATCCTTTTGTTAGTTCCCGGAAATCAGAGATGAACCGTACAGATCCATCCTTTTGGGAATGATAAAAGTTGGTGCCGCCCATTCGGAAAGGTTCACCTTCTTGAGTACCCTGCTCGCAGAGACTTCAAACTCCATCTTAAGAGTGTTGTATGGACACGTGGAATAGGATAAGCCCTAGCGTGATAGTTTAGCTCAGGGAGAGTTCTACTTCGTAGTCGTCCATCTGCCCTTTCCTAAAGTCCATCGAATAGGTCAGAGTACTTCGGTAATAAGGAATGAAGCTGTCCTTCTCTTCCTTTATTCAACTGTTTTTGAATTTGGCAAACCTGCTTAAGTCAGCTTGTTCGTATTTCGCATGAAGAATCTTCTTGAGACATCTTCACTGTCTCAACAGCAGTAGGATCAGGATGAAAAATTTTCTTCTTATTGGTGTCGCTATCTTTCATAGGAATAGATATGCCGTCCACTCCACTGACATGGTAGTGAAATCGAACTTAAATCCTAAGTCGGAGAGAATGTCTCGACTATGATCATGTCATACGCCCCAACTCTTGGTGACTGTAATCCATTCGATAATTCTATATTCGTGGAATTCAGGAATCATGAATGCCCCTTTGCACTTCGTGCTGGTTTTAAATCTCCTGCAGGGGTAGTCCACATGTTTGGACGCCCCCAAGATCCTTCATGCTAATTTTTAGCATGAGTTTGAGCAATCAAAGTTCCGGATGCTCCTGTATCAGTAAGCAACGGAGTGTAACGGGTTTTGGTTTCCCTTTTTCTCGCTTGTTAAATCTAACATAGACGATAGGTTTGAGGTCTCTTGTCTTGCAGTTTACAGGTGGTTGCCACGGACGAGGTTAACGAGCTAAATATCATCAGAGTCTAGTTGAGCAGCTTCTAGGCAATCATCTATTTGCCGTAGAGTTCATCTTGCAAACAATTCTTGTTACTAGTTAGTGAGATATCTTCATCACTTTGGTATGAGAAATCGGAACATGGTTCGTTGAGTCATCATCCTGGCCTAATCCTCAGATAGAGATTTCTCATCCATGATTGAAGATAGAGGAGTTGTCCTCGTTTTCAGAGTCTTCTGATTTGCGCTTGGCAACATGGTTTCGAAGTTTGCAGGTGGTTGCACGAGTATTGTCGATCTCGTGTTCTTCGTCATTGTCGACGAGAGGAAGAATGGTTTGTCACGCAACTGTTCTCGAAGTTGCTGAACATGTTTTCCTTGAGCCATCTTCATGGTGAAGGAATAGATTGAGGTAGCTGAAAGCTATTGTGTTTGTTAACAAAATGCACTACGCTAAAAGCTAGTGTAAAGATCTTTCGAGTGTTTTGAGTTTGAGAGAATGAAAGTTATAGAGAGAGATTAGAAGCTATGATGAAACTAATCAACGAGAGAGATCATCATCAAGGGATCGTAGATCTGGTCTCCCGCGGGAGACTGTAAAGTGTGATAGAGTAGGTTGCAGTAGTAATCCTACGTATCTCCACGATCCTAAAACGGAACGCGTGGAAGGTTTGTCTAGCATGGATCTAGTAGCGTGGAAGTACTCCACGCTGGCTAAATATCTAGAGCGATGTTTCATCATCAACCTAGTATGACTAGAGCGGTCATTGAGAACCCTGTCTCGAATGACTATTCACGAGAGACTCAGTCATGAGTCAAACTCAAACCCTATCTAGGATCGAGTCGCAAATAAGGCTAAGAGCCGTGTATTGCAATATTGAGATCCCTCTGCAATTCGCTTGTGAAGCCATTGCCGGCAGTGGTGTGACATTTGCACAGGAAGAGTAGGATCGAGCCGAAGGGTCGGGGAACTTTGATTGATTTGTATAGATGTGGTTTGCAAGCTTCACTATGGTTGGTGTTTCTAAGCCCATTGTTGGCGGTCAAATGAGGTCCTTATGGTATGAAATTTCCGAAAAGAGCAAAGCTCGAGACCTGGTGCAGACTCAAAATTTCGACAGTGTTCGCAGCCCTTTGTGATCGATTCTCTGCCACAGCAGCACCAGCAATCTGTCACAAGTGGAGCCGCAATGACAACCATCCCATCCTCCACACTTCCCAACGGCCTCGCATTGGCAACTCTTCATCAACAACCATAGCCAAGATCTTTCGACGATGCCCCCGTACGTCGTAAATTGGCCTTACTAGACCGCTTAGCCACATCATTATTATAGCACAGTTAACCCTACCCGTATCCTGCTACTCCTCTGGAAACCACCGGAAATCCAAAGACCACCGGAATTTCAAGATTAACCAAGGATGGGGTATTTTTAAGAAGCTCATTTTTTGGTGCACCACTTATGCTGACAAATATACCCCTAGTAGCTTAACCATTTAGAGTCAACCTGACAATACTTTGAGATAGGGGATACATAATTTGGACGTGCCCGTTGCAGTGCTACATGGCTGTCGGCACTACAACCAGCACATGGCTGCGACAAGCAAAGAATGTAGATAAGTCTATATATGTAACTTGGTTGTGTAGGTGCTATATTGGTTGAGTTCATCCTGTAGTCCTCCTGGAGTATTTTTCACATCACAAAAAGAACTTCATGGTAGCAAAGTTAGGCAACTCTGCAGACCAGCAAAATTCCAGTGGTTTTCAGGGGAGTAGCCTGTGTTAAATTTTGAAGTTGAGTTCCGGGAATACGGAAGCTGAAATTGAGGATACCGGTACTGGTTCTGCTCACCGAATTAATACGAGCAGCTTCGATTTTTTTGATTCAAACGCGTGCCGGGTTTTCTAGTACAGTTCTACGTGAGCTCGTGTGGAAATGAACCAATAAGCTCGGCTCGCGTTTGAATAAATAAAATCGAAGCTGTCTATGACATTGTTCGCGCGATGCCTTGACGCTTACTCGGAACAACAAGAAAGCTTTGTCGGCCCGTGTTTGCGAAGCAAACGTTCCATTCTGTTCCATTGCCGCGACACAGAGCAACTGCGACTGACTTTGAAAGTCCGCAGGGAACTAAGCCGCTCTTCTGGTTGATCAATCTCGTTTTAGTTCCATGACGAAAGTCCGCTGCATAATTTCTTTTCCCCCGCACAAATAATAAGCAAAGCACTTGTTGACCATGACCACCATTGTTGCTCATCCTACCTCCGCAGCCAATGCGACGAGGAAAGAATCTCTGATTAGAAGTGCCTTGATCCACAACAATGAAGGTGTGGCTCTATTGGAAAGAGGCAAGCCCAAGGAGGCCGCTGCTCACTTCACTCACGCCTTGAATCAGATGAACCAAAGCATGAGGATCCCCACGGACGTGAACAGAGCTACGGACGTATCCCCTTCCCCTTCCCCATCCAGTCCTTACACTCTTTTCACTATCCCCCATCTCTCTAGTACTGAAGATGACTGCGCCCAGTTTCTTCTCTTTGACGGAGCAATGACCTTGGCTGCTGAGGGAAATCAAGCTGAAGACATCGCCTTCTACATAGCTGCCGGTATGCTCAACTTGGCCATGGGATTCCATCAAATGGGGGAAATGTCAAGCTCAACACAAGATAAGACCGGCACAAGGAGCATCTTCCAGAAGGCCGATCGTCTTTATCAGGCCGTCCAGCAAGTAGTTGAGGCGGGAATCCAGCAGCCAAACCAGCCACACACCACCACGTGCATGTTCCGCTTTCTGTTTGTGGCAGCTCAGAACAACCGTCTAGGCATTGCCTTGGAGAGCGGCAATTACACCATTGCCAACCAGTTCAAGAAGGAGATGGATAGCATGCTCAAGACAATGTTCCGTGACCAGCCCCAAGAAACAGTTTACTTGGACGAGTTCATGCGCAACTCATCTTTGTTGGGCATCACTTGCATGCTGACTTCCTTGGCGGCAGCTTGCGCTTGAGTAATCTCTGCAAGGAGATCCCAGCAAACACACAACCATCTTTCATTAATCTTTCAGTTTTATTCTAGTAGACTGCATTCCTTATATACCCAACACTGGTAGTCGCGTGTCTCTCTTTAGATTATTTTGCCTTCCGCAGGCATAACCAAGGCTAACTAGCTTTGCTGTGTGTTGAGTGAGGCGGACCAAGATGGCCAACCGCAACGCTGTAGAAAAGAATTCTAGTAGCTATTCTAGTGCTACCGAAGATACAAAGACAAGCTTCAATCATCAAGGCATCTCTGGGCATCCATTTTCTTGTGCCCACAGCAACACATTTGTGTGTCCTTCATTTCTTGCAAAAAAGCAGGTCTTCCAATCCCACGGACAACCATTTTCTCGAAGCCACTTGAGTACTTCCAAGTGTCCGCCACTAGCAGCGCCTGCACATGTCAAAGTACCAAACACATATCCCTTCTCATGGAGCCACTTTAGAATCTTCAAATTGCCACTAGTTGCAGCACCATTGCAAGCAATGACATTGCATTCACATCCATTCTCTTGCGCCCATTGTAACACCTCCAAATGCCCACCCTCGGCCGCACTGGCACAAGTCATGGAATTCCACTCACAGCCGTTGGCTCGTGCCCATTTCAGAATTTCCAAGTGCCCTCCTCGCGCCGCATCAGAGCAGGTGGATCGTGTCCATTCACAGCCATTTTCTCTGGCCCATTTTAGGGTGTCAAAATGCCCATGTCGTGCCGCCGAAGAGCAAGTCCAAGCATTCCATGGGCAATGGTTGTGTCGGGCCCATTTCAAGATTACCAAATGCCCCCCACTGGCGGCACCTGCACACGTGTTGTCATCCCAAGGACAGTGTCGCTCCACCACAAGCCATTGCAGCAGCTCCAAATGTCCACCTTCGGCCGCTTTGGCACATGCCCGTTCGTTCCAACCAAATCCTTTTTCGTCGTGGGCCCATTGCAGGGTGGCACGAGACCCCACCTTGGCAATCGCCGGACACACCAGATTGACAGAGGGCTTTCGTTTCGTTTCATTGAGGCGGCAGAGTTCATCCCAGTATCGGGCACAGGAGACGTTGTCGAATATGGATCTGTAAAATGTATCCGTGCTAGTGGCTGGTCTGGTATGAATTCCAAAGAGGATCACCTCGGGAGGATGCTGGACCGACTGACAATATTCCTTGTAGAGCTGGTTCATTTTCTTGCTGACGGCTCCAATCAGGGCGTAGTGTCCCATTCCCAAAAAGGGCAGAATATCGTCGATCCAGACATCGGCTTGATCCAAGAGAATGGGATCCTCCCTTGCTCCGTCGGGGTTTGTTGTGCTTTCCGACATCACGGTACTAGTAGTATACCGAGATTCTCTGAGACTGCCGAGAAAGACAACTAGTAGTAAAAGTACCGGCACTAGCTAGCTAGCCAATACTCCTGATCAGCAGGCGATGGTATCGTGTGTATCTTGGGAGATGATCACTGCGTCAATGAAGGTATCCAGACCTATTTGCTCGGCCCTCTGAAGACTACTGGTAGCTAGCTGGCTGTGTGCTTGTTTCTCGAATCTGCGGTTGCAACGTTCGCATGGTACACGTACCGGTATCGTCGTTCAATAAAAAAAATAAAGAATTAAGTAAATAGGTAGAAGGTACGTCACTACCGGTACGTGACACCGAACCACTTGGCGGTGCAAAGACAAGGCAACAATGAGGATGGCCAGGTGCCCAAAGAACAGAGAACCCCTTTCACACGAAGTGCGAGCTATAGGTTGAGACCTTCTAATCGAGTGGTGGGCCCACCTTGATCAAGAGTAGGGTTGCGTAGTGATAAAGTGAGAGACAGGTGGAGCATAGTGTTAGTAGTGCAGCAAGTACTGAAGGAGGCAACTATAGCTACAAGTATAGGCATACCGTTGTTCTTGGAAATCCTAACGAATCTAGTCAACCCGGGTTCTTCGTTGACTTGTTAGTAGCTAGTAGCCTATAACCCCATACTCCCGACTGTATGGATGGTCAACTAGCCACCAGAGAATCTCCGGTGGTGGAAAACAGGCTATCAGTCAATGATCTGGAGATGGCTGGGCTGCTCTTACACTACCATGTGCTGGAGCAGCTAGTTCCATCACTTGCACACAAGCACTGTTCATCCTGGTGTGACAACACATCAACTGTCTCCTGGGCCCGACGGCTGCCATCCAGCAAATCCTTGGTTGGCCAGCACTTGGTTCGAGCCTTGTGCATTGGTGATGCAGCGACCAAAAGTACTCCACTGGCACCTTGGTCCATCGTGGGCGCCAGCAACAAAATGGCCAACCTTGCTCGCCGATCATTCAAAAAGGAGGGGCCGAAAACTATGATCTGTCTGATGATGAGTTTCTCACATTGTTCAATCAAAACTTCCCCCTCACACAGCAAGCCTCCTGGCACAGGCACCACCCCAACACCAAGGTATGCTCACTGGTCTTTTCAGATATGCAAACAAAGCGACAGCCCATAGGGTCGTGGCTTCGACTACCCAACGCAGGAAAAACTTCTGGCACGATTGGTGCCGGCTCCTCAGCTACATGGGATGAGCCATCTACTGGCCAGCCCTCCACCAACAAATAGAAGTTTATCTACGAGCTGACCCCCCGCCAGGCTCATGTATTCATCACCAATGCACTCACACCATCACAAGCCCTGTCAAGGCCCTACTAGCATGATGAGTGGCAAACATGATGCAACACACCACTAACATAAACTCTGCCATCAGTATCTATTTTGAAATGTCAGAGGAACCCATGCTCGAACACAAGTAACTTTGTATTCGTGGATTGAAGATTCGTAGTCCTCTTTCATGCTGAAGATCCTTTGCTACTAGCTACTAGAGAAGTTAACATTGCTACGAAATTGTGGTAAGATGCAAGAGACAAAGACAAACGGCGCGGACGCTCGGCCCCCGTGACAAGTTTCGAGAAAATAACTGATTAGTTAGTGCTTCCTCCCGTGTGGAAACAATTCTCATGGTAACATTGGGTCTTACATGTATGTACTGGATCGGTCGGCATGGCATGACTCCTCTTGCGGCACCTAAAACTTGAAGGCTTTACCGGTGTCTTCCTTGTCATCATTCTTTTTCTTGGCCTTGTCGTTCTGTACACCCTTGGACAGAACACTGGCCATTCCATCGGCCGGCTGATTATTTGCATTTGGAAGCACATAGGCATTGCTCGATGCAAACACAGTTCCGGCTTGGGCTGCCGCCGCCTGCGGTTGTTGTTGTGGCAAGACTTGATAGAGTTGTTTGGGGGCAGCAACCATGGGTGTGATATCGCCGGGTTGTTTTCGCAAATCCAACGGCGGAGCCGAACTTTGAATTCCCGGTGGCAACACGGACGGCGGCACGACCGATTCGGTGGCGCTGGGATCCGCCACTTCACCGTCTTCTTCTTCACTTTCCGATTCATCCATTTCCTCATCGCTGGATTCTTCCACGTCGGATTCTTCGGCTTCCTCGAATCCAGCTTCCGGCAGTGCTCCCCAACTTACTTTGGCCAATGTTTTTCCATGACTGGTCACGAGCAAGGCATCGTTGGCCGCATCACTATTGCGATTTCCAGGCGGATCAAAAGGATTTCCACCATAGAGTGGTCGTCCGTAGGGATCGACCGGAGGCTTGCCCCATCCTCCGGGATGATATCCGTACTGGCATTGATCGTGAGGCAACTGGGCGTTGAGTCCTGGAATTTTGAGTTGTGGATAACTCGGTGGTGGCCCGTATCGTTGCATGTTATTGAGCCACGGTGGAGGGGAATGATCGTCCGTCATTCCCAACGCTGTGCGGAGGGCGTCACTGAGTTGCCCTCCCGGTTTAATGTTGGTGTTGGTTTCGAGTTCTTTTCCTTCGTAGTACGTGTCTCCAATTTTCGTCAAGTTGGCCGGCTTGGATTGGTGTTTGAAAAAGGCACTATGGAGCGTTCGATAGTCAATGTCAATGGCTCCCATTTTGGGAGCCACCCGTCCTCGATTCTTTTGTTTCGCGGATTGGCCCGCTTCGGTTTCATTGAGCGAGTCTCTGACTTCAGCAATTCCAGTTTTGATGATAAAATCCGGAAGTTGAAAGGGGGTCTTTTCAAATCCTCTCTGTTGTCGATGAAGAAAGATGGTAAGCAGAACAAAATTAACAACACAAAAGAATGAGACAATCGACTGAAATTTTCCAGGATTCAAGGGCACATAAACTAGCTAGCTAGCTAGAGCTGACTGATTGACTGACTTACCTTTCCCTGCAAATACTTGCGCTTTCTTCCCCAATGTCGCGGAACTGGGACAGTTCCAGGAGCGCCTTTTAGCTGCAACAACAAAACATATAAGTGAGCAATTTGTCATCACCAAAAGTACTCTTATTTGACTGAAAACTCACCTCAATGAGAAACTCTGGGTCGTACGCGGTGACATCGTGCGCTTCCACCAAGTCGGGTCGAGTGACGCGGCGTTTGAGTTCTGCCAAAGAAGGGCGAATCATTTCACGCAGTTTCCGTTTGCTCATGGAATCTTCATTCTCTTCGTCGTCCTCATCATCGTAATCCTCTTCTTCGTCCTTCTTTTCCTCCTGTTTGGCGTCCTCATCATCATCGTCTGTCACGAAATTGGATCGTTCTTCGAATTTGCGCAGCACGGATTCAATTTCTTCCAACGACGATGACACGGCGCCCTCTTCTTCTGATGACTTGTTGTCTGCAGCAGCAGTCGGCACGACGACTTTTTCCACAACGTATTCAATTTCCACATCCAGAGTCACCGAATCATCGGCATTGTCTCCCTTGGTTTCAACAGCATCGTTGGCCTTTTGCTCTTCTTCTTCGGCTTCCACCTTTTTCTTCTTGCGCTGTCGCTTTCGTCGGTTCCGCTCGGCAGCAGAGATTCCCATTGTCGTATTGTACCGTAGAGTACTTTTCAGTGCCACAAGGGGGCAGACTACTCTACTCGACTCACTCAAAGGAGACGTCTCTTGGCAAGAGGTTCCGAGAGGGTTGTTGCGTGTGTTGGGTGGATGGTGGCCGTTTGGGGGTTGCACGGGAGTGCCACTCTCCTAATCCGGCTGAGCTGGAAATACTGTTTCAGCCAGACCAAAGGCGTCTTTGTTTTCCCCACCTTCATTTTGGACCAACTTCATTATTTTGCTCCTAAAGATCTGCTGCCGCGCTGCCACATGCCCCCCCATTTTGCCCTGCTTCGGTCCTCTCTGCGCAGTGCTCCCCCCACCCAAGCTGCTGCTCTACCTACTAGTAGTGGTAGCTTAGCCCCCCCTCACTCCTTAATTAACGTGTCTGTTTAGTATTTGTTTTCCCCCTTGTAACGGGACCAGTAGACCAAGCACTTCTCTCTTCTCTCCTCCCATTTCCAACCAAGTGACCTCTGTCCCCTGGTCTCCCAGCCGATGGGCTCATCAAACACTGCCTGCCATGGCTTTGAATAGGGGCATAGATTGATTGATTTACTAGCTACTAGACCGCAACAATGGACACCATCTTTCTTCAAGGCTTCTGCCGTTGCCTCCGTCGTATTATCATGTCCTCCGATCGCTCCGACAATACTAGGACTGCTGAGTCCATTCCTCCTCCTGTCGATTCCACTAACCACACCATCAATACCAATACTACCCCTAATACTGCTACTACCAAGTCTCCTCTTCTGTTGGCGGGTGATGAGATTTTGATGCAAGGCATTCTACCGCATGTTGGTGTTGGACAGTATGCCTTTATTGGACCAGTCAACAAAAAGATGAATCAACTGTACAAAGAGTACTGCAAGGTTGAACTCAAGAAAAGTCCAAGAAGAGTACACAAAGATAAACCGGACAACCCGCTAATCGACAGACGCTGGAGATCTGCAGAAATCACCGACACTCTTGACAGCGAAACATTCTGTAACCTGTCACGTGCAGAATACTGGCTCAAGGACGATTCTTATTATTCCACCCATAAGGCACCTGATCGTGATGATGTTGCCAATGCAATTGCCAAATTTGGAAATATTACTCTCATGCAGTGGGCACGACAACAAGGATTCCCATGGGATGAACAGACATGCTTCCTTGCTGCTTACAGTGGGCATTTGGAAATGCTCCAATGGTTAAGAAAGAATGGTTGTCCATGGAATGAGTGGACATGTTCCTCTGCTGCTCAAAATGGACAATTGGAAATCTTAAGTGGGCTCATGAAAACGGTTGTCCATGGGATGGGTGGACATGTGCAGGAGCTGCTAAAATGGATTTGGAAATGCTCCATGGTTAAGAGCAATTGGTTGTCCATGGCATAATGGAAATGTGCATCAGCTGCTAAAATGGCATTTTGAAATCCTAAAGTGGGCTCGGGAAAATGGGTGTCCATGGAATGAAGACACATGTAGCAAAGCTGCCGAAAGGGGCCATATCGAAATTCTGAAGTGGGCTCGTGCAAATGAATGTCCATGGAATGAAGCGACATGCTGGTGCGCTGCTGAAAATGGGCATTTTGAAATCCTAAATGGGCTCTGAAAATGGGTGTCCATGGAATGAAGCGACATGCTGGCGCGCTGCTGAAAATGGGCATTTTGAAATCTTGAAGTGGGCTCGTGAAAATGGCTGTCCATGAATGAACGGACATGTGCTCTTGCTGCTCATGGTGGCCACTTGGAAGTTTTGAAGTGGGCTCGTGAAAATGGTTGTCCATGGAATACTTATACATGCAGGTATGCTGCTGAGGAGGGTCATTTGGAAATTTCTAAAGTGGGCTCGTGGAAACGGTTGTCCATGGGATGCAAGTACATGTGTCAGAGCTGCTGAAAGGGGCCATTTGGAAATCTTGAAGTGGGCTCATGAAAATGGATGTCCATGGAATGAAATGACATGCGCCCTTGCTGCTGAAAATGGCCACTTGGATATTGTAAAGTGGGCTCGTGAAAATGGTTGTCCATGGAATGGAGGACTGCTCAGGTGCTGCTAAAGGCCATTGGAAGCTTGAAGTGGGCTCGTGAAAACGGGTGTCCATGGGGTGAATGGACATGTGAGGCCGCCGCTCTAAATGGCGATTTGGAAATTCTAAAGTGGGCTCATGAAAATGGTTGTCCATGGGATGGGTGGACATGTGCAGGAGCTGCTAAGAATGGACATTTGGCAGTTTTAAAGTGGGCTCGTGCAAATGGTTGCCCATGGAATGAAGACACATGTAGCAAAGCTGCCGAAAGGGGCCATATCGAAATTCTGAAGTGGGCTCGTGAAAATGGCTGTCCATGGAATGAAGACACATGTGTCAAAGCTGCGGAAAGGGGCCGGTTGGAAAGTCTGAAGTGGGCTCGTGAAAATGGCTGTCCATGGAGTGTAGCGACATATCGAGCTGCCCGCAGGTCTGACCGAATTGGAGTGATCCAGTGGCTGCGTGACAATGGCTGCCCTGGGTCTCATCATGAAGGACACCAACATCGTTTATGGTAAGGTTAGAAATTGTATCAAAAGTAGACAGTTGCTCAGTTTGCCCCATAGTACCTTGGCTAGCTAGCCATTGGCTCAATTGGTGTGATGGGATTGCGGATCTTTGTTGGTAGGACGCACAGTACCGGTATTTGCTTTCCCTCGTTAAGGGCGAACAACCACTCCCGCTCTCATCCGCAAGCATCAATGCATGGATTTTTCTATCAAAGCTACCTGGTACAAAATGGCAAGGTCTAGCTATGCATTCATGTAATAGCAGGCAGGCCAATGCACACATTCTAATTTAATATACGAGATGAAATAAAACGGGACCTTCTTTCGTTGCTGGCTATGCTTTGCAACTTTTTCATGCGCTCCCTACCAGGCGTCATCTGGGTGTATGAATCTCAGCCCCCAATTCATGCATTGTCTCTTGCAGAAAGCCGCGATTTGAGTCTGCTAGACTGTGTCTCAGGCTCTTATTCTCTCGTCGGGACTCCCGGGCCTTTTCTTTTGTGGCTTTCAATGCCGCCTTCAAGTCACGGTTTTTTCTCGCAAGCTTTTCGTAGGCACGTCGGGTCACATCCAACTCGATTTGCATACCAAGAAGGTCCATTTCGTCTCGCATATCGCCCATTGCGCCCGCTTTGGCACCTCCTCGGTTGAATTCCTTTTGCAACTGCTCCGCTGGACTCAAGTCTTCATCGTCGTCATCGTCCATCAATTGTTCGTGCCCGTCTCGCACCCTGTAGTTTCTCATCCAGGGAAGAAGTGCCAATACGAAAAGAATGCGCCAATGGGCACCCGCTCGAGTGCAAAACTGTTTGCCGTTGTTCAGCTTGAGCAGATACAGCAGGCCGAGACGCTCGATGAAAGGGTGGCGGTGCTGTCAAAAAGTACAAGGAAGGCACGAACGTCATGCTGGGTGAGCGAACAATACAGCCAGAGTCACCGTTTTCAACAAGATGTAGATCGTCCAGTAGCCATATACTCACCGCTTCATGAAGGAGCAAGTCCTTATAAAAGGCGTGGGGTGCGGGATCCAATGGGGAGTTCCCCACGTAGCCCACTCCTGGTGCAAACACAGGAGTATCAATTCTGGTTTCATCATGCGCGGCGGGAAAAAGTGAGAAAATGACGGGTGTTCTTGTCTATTACGAATGCTGATTCGTACGTACCTTCCAACATAGAAACCCGTCACAACTGAGGACAGAAACAGGATGTTAGAATCGGGTGGTACTGCCGCCGCCATTTCTGTATTCGCTTTGTATCCTCATACCTATCAGCTTGATAAATCGTGATGTGACTGTTCCGGCTGACAACCCAAGGCTCCAGCACTCAAGGATCACGTTGGTGAAGTTGGCAGCGGCTGGCCGCTTTCGGTAATAACCGCTGTACAAAGCGGAACGCAGAAACTTCATGACAATGACCTTTAAGCCAATTGTAATTGCTAATCCAAAGTAGCCTGATAGTGCCGTGCATTTAACAATTGAGGGCGCACCGTGAGAGAACGAAACCCGACCCAAGATCAACCCAAGATCAAGATGAAAAGAGTACACCGTACGTACCAGCAATGAACGTAAAAACGTAGCTGCGAGTCATCTGTTGCAAAGAGCAGACCGAGCGGAGGTTGAGTTGTGATCCTCGACTTCGGATCGCTCAGTCTCAATGCAGTACGTACCGGCCATATCGTTACGAAGGCAACAATCCCAAAAATAGCAAAAGCAATGAGGGCAGTATAGAAACAGCCCCACAAGTTGCAACCAAAAAGAATAGAGGTGGCATCAGGCGATTTCCGGAACATGAGGAAGCCTTCGTAATCACCCTTGAGACTGGGATTGAAACCAGAGCGTAGTTTGAGGACTGAAGACACAAAGGAAGGGACGTAGACACATGCAATAGCTGAGACACCAAGAAGGGCGCCGAACAAGCCAATCGACAAACCCAACCTAAACCTGTTAAAACAAAAGCAAGGGCAGAGACATGAGAATGCGCAAAGCTGATACGTTTGCTCACTCGTTCACGTCTACTCACTGCCAAGGGCTCAGGTCTAACATTTCAATAAGCTGGTTTGAGGAAGCTTGTTCGTTGTAGAAAGTCCCACTGGCATTGATCATCCACTCCTCGTAACAGATCGAAGGAGATGTGAGCCCATTGGGAAGTTGGAAAGTCGAGCCGTTGAACTTGGGCATCTGTCCTTCATAGACCAACCCCCACTCCGCTATACCAAAGTGCGTTGCATTGATGTTATAAAGGTTAAAAAAGCCGTTTGTTGTCCTCTGCGGGGAATCGGGGGGCACAAAGTGAGTAGCAGCTTGAGATTAGTGTATTCAATGTGATGAAGCTGCTTACATTCCAATTGGGATCGTAGACGTCTGGGTTCAACCCTTCACCGACTGTGTAGAGACACCCGTCATCTTTTGTTGTGACATTCTGGTTCAGAAATCGCATGACGGTAACATAAGTCGAAACCATTAGAAAAATAATAAAGAACTGCACAAAGTTGACCTGTTGGGTGGCCAAACGCAAGGAGAAAAAACCGTGAGTCTGGGGTCAAACAAGAAAAGCATCACTGAGAACCATTGTTGCAAAACTAACGGCTAGGAGACGCCCGTGGAGGAAGATTCCTTCTCGCTGTAAAAGTGTGCCATTCCAAAGCCCCCTTGCAGTCCAAAAGACACCACCTTGAACTGAAAGCAGATGCATCGCATGTTAGTCCTCCAAAAGAATCAAATTTCACTCGTATCATATGGTTACACACACCTTCCACTGTATCATTCATTCGATGGAAATTTAAGAGTGCTTTTGACATCGTACTTCCTTTGGCATTCTTCCTGCTCTTGCGTCCTTCTGAGCTGCTGCTTCGGTGCAGTACAGATGCAACACTTCTCACAGTCTCGGTTACGCTTGATAGTCTCATTGACTTGAATTTGGGAGGGAGCTCGTGAAGAAACATGGCATGTTCCACAATTGTTTGAATCTTACTGGCAGCAGCGGATTTTATCGTCTTCTCCTTCTTGCCCATCCCTCCAGATTCCAAGCGCCCCACGGGGAAAAAGACACTCACCAAACGCGTGAGCTGCAGGAACAAGATGACAATTCCACCTAGAAAAGCTGTCCAATAAGCAGGTTGTTTGGATTCGATCTTGACCGTATCGAAGATTTCGTTCTTGGTTTCAACGGCGAAGGTAACAATAGTAACAATAACAACTACGGTCATGGAAACGACGAGGCGGACCACCGTAAACACCTTCTCGAGAACGGTCTTTGTGGGCTGGTTGGTATTTCCAAGGCTGGATGCGGCGATATGTATTATGTGAGACATCAATCATAATATCATAATGCCATCACGATGGTCGTGACACACAAAATATTGACGTACCTCGCAAGGACGACCCATGTCAAGCCCATAATACTGAGCTCCGCAAAAACTGAAAAAGTCACGAGAGCCATGGGTGAGATTTCTGTTCAGTTCAGTCCGGGAGCTGCACTAGTGCCTCTAGTCCGGTAGATTGATTTGATTTGAAATGATTCATCATTCGATTTGATTCCATGCGACGTAACGTACCTACAATCCAACTCAGCAATGATACACCAATCTTGCATCCCAGTTCACTCGTACAGTTTGGGAATTGTTCCGTGGTGAATTTCAATCCTGTACCTGCCAAATAGGCAAAGTAAATCAAGACGGCTTCGACCCAAACTAAAGCAAACCAAGGTCCATTTCGATAATTGTCGGCGTTGTTGTCAATGCTGGCTGCCATGTATATTTTCTTGTATGGAACGGCATGAATATTCGAAACCACGGCATTGCTATCGTCCATATCGTCATTATTGCCCTGGTGGTGTTGCGGGATCATCGGCGCCGGCTTGGAAGGACGGCGCCGCCGATCCAGCATTTTGGACTTGCCGTAAAGGACTTCTTCCCGGTACAAATGAGCTCGCATGGCGTCTTTAAAATGAGTGTTCTCCGAAGTATCAATTCGACTGGGATCCCAGAGTTGTGTATCTGCTGTGAGGGCATGCAAGAAAGCTGCCTTGTTCAAAAAGACTTCATCCGGCCCCTTGCCAGTATTACTCCCGCCCATGGCGTCCACCTTGGCAGCTCGAATCATTTCCTGTATCAGTTCGTGTGGTACGTCAAACTCCCCAAAGGTCTCCAAGATTCGTCTCAATATTTTGGGCGTGAGGAGGATCCCATTGTTCTCGGCATCCACACTGTCCTCACCTTCTTCCAACTGGAACTCTCCAATGAGGTTTCGAAGTGCCAACTCTAGGACATGACCGACCAGTTCTCGAGCATGTTCTTCTCGTTCATTCTGTTCTTCCATGGCTTTGGCACGAAAGCTACCTAACATGCTCTTTCCTCGGCTCATGACGAGATTCTTGTCGGCTTGGTTGCCCTGACGGAGAAAGGGGATCATCAGTAGAGCTAGCAATTGACACACGTCCAGCACTGGTTGAAGGTCTTCTTCGTCTTCTTCTTCACTATCGGATGGATCTCCTCCTTCGTCCTCAAAGGACTCTTTGGAAAGTCGTTTCTTGGCAAATAGTTTGGACAAGGGATTACTACTAGTACTTTTGGGAGCTTGTTCCACATCCTCCGTGCCTTCAGTGACTGTGGGGGTTTCGGATGGTGGCGCAATGGGAAGTGATCCACCCATTTCCAGTACAATCGAGCTCATTACAACATCTTCTTCCACTCGTATGCCGTGTCGACTCGACAGAAAGTACATAATGTCCCTGGCTGCGCGAGAAAGGGGGTGGGAATGTGAGAACAAATAAACATCGCTCCTGTCCTCCGAATCAAACGGATGACAGCTACAGTACCTTCATCCCCACTGACCTTGAATGGTTCCATTTTGACGCAAGGGTTCTCCAGTTTGATGAAGAGCCGAGATGTATTCCAACTCTTTGGTGTCCGCAAAGGGACCCTGATGACGAAGAGGTTGAGGAACAGAGTGGGATATCAGACGGGGTATACCGACAACACAAAATCATCTTCTCTTTATCTTACCACAGGGCGGGCAAACTGGATTCCCACCATTGTCTACCGCTGATGATATATTATGATCTCTCTTTCTGTCGTCTTGATGCTTCCTTATTCTTCCTTTGAGATGCCAAACTCAGGGTTGTGGACGAGTGTTTTCTCATGCATCATCTCCAGGGACATTCCTTCCGAAGACGAGTTTGGTTGAGAGATCTGGGTAGAAAGTACATGTACCTTCTAAAATAGTTCTTACGGTAGGACGTCTCGTACCAGTCATTATAGTAAGGACAATGAACTGGCAAAAGTCCGAGGGCATTATTTATTTTAGAGCCCGATCCCAATCCCGCTGTGGTACCAGTTCTTCCTTCTTTCGGCCAACGACTTGCCAGTTAGTCCAGTCCGAGGCTTTGGGAGCCCTCGAGCTCTGGAGTTGGGATCGATGCAGTCAAAGCCACCCGATGCAGCTAACTGTTAGCTTCAGTGGTAGGTAGAGACATTGTAGGCAGAGACCCAATTCCAGAAACATCTGGTCGGTTCTGTTAGTCTAGGTAGTGTCAGAAGCAAACTGGACTGCTCTATTAGCTAGAATATAAAAAACTATTGAAAGTTCTATGATGGAATCACACTATGGAACAGCTGCTTCATCTCTGGGTGCACAGCTGCAATCGCAATCACGGCAGTGGTTGGATGTGTTTGGAGTGATCACGGGGCAATACAGGTCAATGTAAGTCATGTTGACCCAGCACCCCCCAAACTCTTCTGGAAACACATCAAAATCTGTGACATTGCCACTGTCCGAGTTGATCACCAGGCCCTCGTTCCCTCTCACATCCCATCCAAACAACTCTGGCAAATTGTCTCCATTTATCTCTGTCGGGATTGTTCCGGTGAGCATGTTGTCGCCAAGAAATACCTGAGTTGCGGTCGAAAGAAGCCCAATCTCTGAAGGGATTGGGCCAGTTAAAGCATTGCGTTTTAGCTCCAGAACTCTAAGGCGGTTTGTAAGCAGGCCAACTTCTGTGCAAATCGTTCCAGTGATACCAACATTAAAGACCATGAATCGTTTCAGAATATGCAACTTTCCAATTTCGGATGGAATCTGTGATTGCGAGTTATTTGTGAGTCAAACAACTAGTGCTGAACATGGTACAGGTACATGTACAAGCATCACCCACCCACGTACCATGCCTGAGAAATGATTTGGCGGATGCGCAAGTTGGAAGTCCCACATGTTAGTAAGCTGACCAATCTTAGTAGAAAGTGTCCCTTCCAATGAATTAGTAAACAAGTAGAGAGTCCTGAGGTAGGTGATATTGTAGAGCTCTTCTGGACTTGTTCCTGTAAACATGTTCTGATCCAGCATTAGAGTCCTCAATGAGGCATTGAGCAATCCCAGCTCAGAAGGAATGCTGCAAGTAAATGCATTGGCGGAAACAACTAGGAAATGAATCTTTGTCAGCAGACCCAGCTCCGTGGGTAGAGTCCCCGTGTGGGAACAATAAGGCAGAGCAATGAATTCCAAGTTCGTGAGAACACCTATTTCAGTTGGGATGCTGCCCCTCAGTTTGGGGTTCACGTAGGCAGAGATGCTTCGCAAGGACTGCAAAAATGATATTTCCATTGGAAAAGTCCCATCCAATTGGTTTGTGTACATCCATAGATGTTTAAAGGAAGACTCATGAGTCAAGGTGGCAGTTGTGGGCACGGTCACATTGGGTGGCAGCTCACAGGGATTCTTATTGACCATCTGATCATAGTCTTCGAGGTAGGTAACTTGATCATCTGGTTGAGCAAAGGCAATATCATCTTTAGCGAACCAATGACATTCATGATGGTTGTAGTCCAGCCATTTCTCATTGTTTCCCCAGGATACATTCCATTGGTAGAATAGTAGAAAGTTGCCAGAGCAAATCGCTGTAGAAACCTTTGGTCATCTTGCAAATATATCTCCAAAAATGGATCTTGTAGGGTCCATTCAAGTGCCTGACTTTGGGGAGATGCCGTTATGTTACTGCTATGGTCTGCAATTGCAGCCCTGACAGTAGTGTCGGGAAGCACAGTCTGGAGAATAAAACCTCTTGTAGTGAATACAGTTGGTGGTGCTGTTGGTGGCACAGTTGGCATGGCAGTGGCCTCTTCTGATGACGGGAGCCCATTGTTCTTGACGCCCACAAAAAGGCCCACAACTGTACAGAGAGCAGCCACCAAAAGCAGTCCTACTCCCAGTGGCCTATAAGGAACCAGTTCGTGATTCCTAGATTTTGGTTCCACTGCTCTTGCTTCTGTCAGAACTAGCTCAGGGTCTTCATCATTTACAGCTCTGGCTTCCACCAGCCCTCCTTCCCGGCCACCAAAAGGCTGTGCATTCTCACTGTTTCCACTTGGCAGGTTTCCAAGTTCCCACATAATAGAAGACTCTGGGTTCTGATGAGAATTCACACCAGCCAGCAGCTGCATAAGCCCCTGGTTCTGGATTTGTCTGGACATTTCTACCTCTTTGAAGTCTGGTGGCCGCTGGTGGTTCTGGTGCTTGTGTCTGTGATAGTCTGAAGGTTGCTGATCCAGTAATATCCCATGGTGCATCTACAATGCGACTTTCTTGCTGGTCTTCCTCTTCTTGCTCAATTCTATTGTTCTTTTCCGTTCGAGTTGGAGGCTTTTAAAACACGGCAGCATCTGCAGTGAAGCCAATTTAACATTGGCACTTGTCATCGCCATTCACAGTCGATTATGTCACCAGTACTCAGGTGCCCCAGGCGTGCGGAAACTGGTACTCCGGAGCAGTACTACTATCTCGCTACATCTACGTGTACATGTAGTTTGTTGGCCGGCTCCTGGAACATCCCTCAGTCCCACCATTTCTCGTGAGGCCGCCGCTTCTTCAAACAGGATCGCCACCGGAGCTATCATAGCTCGACTGCTCGATGCCTACTCTACTAGCTAGCTAGCTAATAGCTATTCTAGCAATACAAGTGCATCAAGTCGCCTTGCTTTTCATCCAGTTTCTCTTCCAGGTAGGTGCTCTACGGTATTCATTGGACATGTACCGCATCCCAAAAACACAGTTTCCAGCCAAAGAAAAAGCAAACAAGTCCCTACTACTAGCTAGCTAGTACACCATCGCACCAGACCCAATCGTCGGGGTTATTCTCACGGCACATTCCAGTCCATCTGGGCGTCATTGGACCAACCCTATCTCTAATGTAGAATATTGATCGGTACAGAATCAAATCTTCATCGAATCGAATCCTTCCGCTCATTTTTCTTGCTAGCTAGCTAGCTATTAATAGTAGCTAGCTGGACAGCAGGTCAACAGCACCACAATGTAGCAGGCCCACCCACTTCTGCCTAAAAATTTAGTCATCACCAATGAGATGGCGGATACGGTATACGGTATACAATGTGCACATCTGGCCAGCCCAAACAGTATACCGTTTACCGCAGTTTTTCTCTTTATATTTTTGTAAAGAGAATTCAACACGGTTTACCGTGTACCGTTTCAATTATTTTGTGTACTGTTTACCGTTTACCGTTTATCTGCTGTGGCTTTGGGTTGTGCCTTGCTTCTTTGGAAACATTGCAGGAGGGAGGATACCATTTATCATATATCGTAAATCAACTTTAATTTGTAAAACCGTAAACCGTATATCGTACACAGATATTGTCCTCTTTTGAACAAGTCAATGTATGAACGGTAAACGGTAAACGGTAAACAGTAAATTGTTCCCACGATGAACCGTAAACGGTATGGGCAGCAGGAAACTACATTGATCAAACAGTATGCAATACAGTACAGATCAGAATTTGATTTTTACAGTGGAAGCACTTTGAATCAAGCAGCTTCTTCTTGTGGAGTAGTGGTAGATGGTATGACCACTACTAGCTAGTAGTAATCACAAGGAGATGGCAACAACAACAACACTGTTTGCTGTTGATGCAGAGGACTTGTGTTTTTTTTTCCTTCTTCCTTGATTGAGTCACTAGCAAACCAAGACTAAACTGGCTAGCTACATTGTGGTGCTGTTGACCCCCTGTCTAGCTAGCACATAGGTACAGTGGCTCATTTCAGTACAGTACTACCGCTAGCTACAGTACCGTAGTACATGTATGCATACCACAAGACAGAACCGGTACGTCCGATTGTACAGCACCGGTGAAGTCGGTGAAGGATTGAGAAAGAGAACATGGTCTTTCTCAACCCAAGACTTATTGTTCTTCTGTAAAATGTTTCTTTAATTAATTCATTAGACTTAGTCATGGCTTCTCTTTCTGAGTCATTGGAGTCATTTTGAAACGCAACATTGATTTCGTGACCTACTTAAATCGTGCATACACTACTCTGCCCGTTTCCTCTCCAAGCAAGGGCAACTGCGACATAAGCATACTGTAGCAACAAGGAATTCAAGAAGAACACACATCACCTTGCCTTTCACCTTTTGACTTGGGGTCTCTGGAGAGGTCGCTTCTTCACAACATTATATTCTAATCTTCTGGTCTCGTCAAACTCGACATTACAGTATTGCATCGACTCGACTCAACTCGACTGTCACTCCACCATGCCAACAGCAGCAGCAGAGGATGTGGAAGAGAAAGGGGCAGAATCAATCCCAGCCGTCGACTTGGCAGAGGAGGAGCAAGTCGGCGATACCACTACTACTCGCATTTCACAAGGTGAAGATGCCAATGAGAAAGCCGAAGAAGAAGTGATACTATCCAAAGATGACGGAACGACGGATGCCGCCAGCTCTGAACTGCCGAATAGTAATCCATCGGATGAGACTAGAATAAAAAAGAGTCCGACCCGTGCCGCCTCTTTCAACGATTTCCCAATGCCGCTTCCTACACGAAAACAGCACGAGCAGCAAGCTCCCGGCGCCTATGCCGTTGTCCGAATGCGACCCGTACAACAACAACAACAACAACAACAAGATGACAGCACACATGACGATGATGACGATGAGGAAGCCGCCATGAACGAAGGGGCGCCGCTCGATGCCGCATTGGTGGATTCCAATCACGACGAAAGACTGGCCATGACAGAGGACTTGCCTACTAGTAGTAGCAGGGCAGCAGTCACCACGTTGGTACAAGCCCAAGTACTGCCGGAACGAACCGAGTCCGAACGCCGCGCCAAAAACTTTGTTTTGTGGGGATTTGCCGTGGCGGCTCTGTTGGTGGTTCTCATGGGAGTTGTCTTTGGAATTGGTGACAGCAAAGAAGAGGATTCCACCACCACACTTGATCCTCCCACAGAGCAAACAACTTCCACCAATAGTATTATTATTTGGTATCCACCTTTTCAAGAAACTCTTCCTGCCTCCACACGCAAGGCAATCGCCAGCGATTACACCAGTGATCAGTATCGTGGCAATGCCTGGATGCAAAACGATCCCCATCTAGATTCCTATCCTCCCAATCGGCAACTGCAACGGTTTGCCCTCGTCACCACCTTTTACGGCACACACGGAGACCACTGGTTTCACAACGATCATTGGCTCGACTATGATGTTTCCGAATGCGACTGGTTTACACAGAGTTTTGACACCATTTGTGACGAACACCACAATCTTCTCACGATTGATTTGCATCACAACAATTTGCAGGGGACCATTCCCCAAGAAGCCCAATTCATTCCGCATTTGCAATACTCGGACATGTCGTACAATCAAATTGCTGGTGGGTTGCCCAACTTTGTCAGCAATGACCAGTTACAGGTCATCAAGGTATCGCACAATCAAATGGCAGGTCCACTGGTGAGCCAAGCGGGATTCTCGGCATTTGATTTGCGCGTTATTGAACTGGATGGCAATGCCTTTTCGGGATATATTGCTCCCGTGTATCAGTATCTGCCGCGACTGGAACGAATCAACTTGACATCCAATGCCTTTACGGGGACGTTGCCAGAGGAACTGGTGTACGCGACAAACCTGGCATATGCGGGTCTTGGACACAACCAGTATCATGGGGAGATACCGTCCTCTTTTGGAATCCTGACGGCATTGGAAGGATTGGATGTATCGGGAATGGAAGGTATCCATGGAACTCTTCCATCCGAACTGGGCACCATGGTGGCCTTGCGACAGTTGGACATTACTGGGACGAACATTACAGGAGTGGTCCCGGAGGCTGTCTGTGACTTGGTACCAGAGGGACTGGTACTGAAAATAGATTGTGACAAGGATGACCTGCAGTGTTGTTCTGATAATAGTATCTAAGATGAGGGTGGGTTCAGTGAGGTTAAGTGAAGAGTTGGTCAAGTGCACCTCTTTGATCCCGATCCAAGGACACGCCGCGACTACTCGTACAATATGCCATACTAGTAGGCTTCAAAAGTCTGAGAGAGGCAATTGGGCTTTAATAGTGTCGCATCACTTTGCTGCCTAGTTTACGTCACAAAATGTGAATTACGGTGCTCATGTAGCCTGATAGTTGTAGTTTGTTGAATCCGTTGGATGTTGCCAGTTTGCTGTGTACCGTACAAATGCGGTATGGACGCCACCTATTATGCACGCTTCCGACGTGTCTCTAGCTCTTCCTTGACCACCAGAATATCCAGATTCAATGATAGCATTTCTGTGGAGAGCGAGCATACCGACTCGGCAAACCTGTTGGTGTTCATGTAGGTGGCCCTCGTTTCGGCCTCATTCACGAGAGTGTCGTGTTTTTGCGCAAAGGCAATGTTGGTGCGCATTTCCGCTTGCGTTCCCCGCGCCACTCCTTGTGCAATGCCACACGTGAGACTGTTGATACCGTCCAAAATGGCTCCTTGTTTGACAACCACAAAATCTGGAATGGAAAGAAGATCTGCCACGCCATCAAAGTAGCCTTCGCACAGAACGCCATGATACTCTGCCTCGAGGGCATCATCCAACACCACTTGTGCTTGTTGGATCACCTTTTTAGGATCGGTACGGGACGTATAGGGCGCTCCGTCCGGCAAGTAGGCATCAATGTTGCCGGATACCGCATAGGCGGTATACACCGAGCCTCCATCACCCGTTCCAGGATATCCCGCATCCACAGGTTCCGAAGAACAGGCAGCTTCTTCTTGCAGGCGGCGTTTCTTCTTGGGTGGTTCTGGCCGATAGTTTTCGCGTAGCTTTCGGTTGTGTTCTTGTTGTTGGTTGGCATGGCACACTCGATCAATACCTTCCTTGCCAAAGGACATGAAAACAGCGACGGAAAGCTCGTCCTGGGAAACGTCTTCAATGGCTGCTTCGATTGTGGTGTTGATGTGATGGGTCAGTTTGTCTTCGCCAATGAGATTCTTCAAGCAGTCGAGACCTCGGGCACCGTGCTTGAGTCCTTCGGAAGACGACTTTCCTCCACGAAACGAATAGACATTGGAAGACTTGGCATCGACGTTGATCGAGAAGAGGGCCGCGGCAAGAACTACTGCAAGATGGAATGAATGCATCATGGTGTTTATCGTTTTGAAGAATTGGAAACTAAAAGTGAACGCCAACAAGTTACATGTAGCTGGTGCTGTAATTTTGGCAGTCAGAAGTGATGGTACAGTACCGGCGGTACCGCTCCTTCTTTAGTTCTGGAGTTTGTGCTCAACTTGATACTTGCATGCTCCTTCCATTTAGAGAGGTGAGCGATGGTTGGTCGCTGCGTGACGACGGTACTTAGACACCATTTGGTAGAGCTATGGTTACTTAGGGAGATGCACATACTTGCCAATCGCTTGGCATGACCACAAATCTGCTCAAAATGATCCAGCGCTCGCTGCTCACTCTTTCTTTGATTTGATTCTATGATACATTCCAAACCGAACTTAGTACTTTGAAGAACACACCACCATGACGAAAGCCACCAATACGATCAGCATCATCGCCTTGCTTGTAGCGGCATCCGCAAGCCTTGTAGAAGGAGGCTTTTTGGGTCACTTTAAGTTTTTGCACACGCACGAAGACGAACCAGATCATACCGCCACCGAAGAACAAACACCATTGGAAGCAGTGGGAGCGGTTCTCACGGTAGCCCAGCTAGACACGGGCCGAAGAGGATTTGCGTGCCTTCAATATGCCGCCAATGTGGAAAATGATCCGTTTGAAAGTTTAGGGATGATGCTTCGACCCATCACTCGCGTGTTGCTGAATTACTACGGGGAGTATGGAATTGACAAGTTGTGTTCCATGACACACCACGGAAGGGCTCTGCTCCAAGAAGCAGGTAAAGAGATTCCCGAATGGCACGGTATCCTGGAGCAGAAACTTGATAATAAGATTCCAGATCATGGCAGTTCTCAGCAGAAGCGCGAAATGACAACCTGCGACGTCAACAGTGCCACATACCCCGCCGATCCCGCAGTCGATACCACTGGAATCTATGCCGACTATGCTTCCAAGTACCTAGATCACTACCTGCCCGATGGAGATCGTAATCAACGTTCCGATAATGCCTATGTGGCAGAGAAGGTAAACAATGATCTCAACTACTTTCGAGGCGTTCGAGTTGGCTTGAACAGCTGTGTGACAATTTGGACTGGCGTCAATCAGCTCATTGCTTTGGCGGATGTCCCATTTATCGATCAAGACAAGATCAGCGAGTCCATCATGTCCTTTTCCTGTGGTCTCCCAAACAGGTACAATGATATTGTCATTAGTCGCAACGAACGCAATTTGGAACGCATTTCCTTTCACGATCATGTCGTTGATGGCACTGAAGTTGGAGCTATCTATCTCAATTCGCATACCATGATGAACAATCTATGTGCTTTGCAAACTGCCATGGAGAGTGCATCCGAAGAAGTCGAAGATATCCACGCAAACTTGACGACGCGAGTTTGATGGAAACCGCAACGAGACAAGCATGCATCCGATGCATGATGGCAGTTATTGGCTAGACAATCAAACACAAAAAGAGATGGATCATGGAGTAGCGTATCTGAGAAAGCAAGCAACTGTTTGATACTTCCTGCAATCATATTCATGAAAAGAAGTAATTGCAACATTATATATCAGATTCTCTTCTTGGTTCGCAATACTTGTACTACAGTGAATTGACCAGCTAACTAGAGAGACATTGCAGTTGCCAGAAACGTGGCCTCCAGAAAAATGGATCTGTGTTCCAGCAGGTTTCCATTCATAACAAAGCAAAAAATGACAGTATCCTTTGCTTGTTTTCGCTCCACTACTCGTTGCGCAGCTACACTGTACCATGTAACGGCGCTTGCGATGGCGTGGTTCTTCGGACCAGAGAGTGACGGAAACTATAATAGCGGCAGAGGGCTTGTCCAGACTGATGCTCCGAATTTTTGTTTCATGAGGCCTGTGGGGGGTGACGAGTCGAGTCCTCAGTCGTGTAGTGTGACATCGAGTCGAGTCCAGTCATTCTCTGGGGGACAGCCAGCCAAATTGTCGCGGGAGAGCGTCAAAGAAGAGCGGCCCGGACCTACATTCTAATGACCTTCTCTTTTCGATCCCCCTCCGTTGCAGCAGTCATAGATCTCGAGATCCCTCTCCAACCCTCGCCTCCAGCAGCCAACGACAAACGTTTTGAAGATAATTCTAACACCCCAGCCTGGTCGGCAACTCTGCAATAGTTACGATGGAGAAATGCGAATCTGAGGACCATGCTGGTAGCGGCAACCGCGAGGAAGGTAATCAGAGTCAGAGCCAAGATGAAGGTGAAAAGCTGGTTGGTGATCTTTTCAACAACCGTGAAAAGCTGGAAGAAGCCCAGGCCTCATTCAATTTTACGGCTGGGAACAAATCAAAACCTTCTTCCGATGGCTCAGCTGAAACCATTGGCACTGATACACTCGATGCAACCCAAACAATCGAGATAGGGGTGGCAAATATCCAACCGAGATCCCGGCCTGGAGCTTACCAACAACAGCCATCTGTCATAGAAGGAGCGGCAGCACTTCAAGTAGCGACCACAAAAACCATCGACAAGGAGGTGGAAAACATCCGAACTGCAATCGATGCCCAATCTGGTGGGTCTAGCACGGATACCAGCAACAACACTGACCTGGAGAAGAAGCGGCATATTGGTGCAACAGGGAAGACTGTAGAAAATGGCGTTCCAAATCTATTTGTTGCTCGTGAGAATATGCAATTGGCAAATACAGCGGAGGAACAACCAGAAGGAGCCGTCTCTGGCGCTGCTGGGAACAACAGCGATCGCAGAGCCTTTGTTCAACCAGGTGCCTACGCGATGGGAGGAGTACCAGGACCAACACTAACGGAAGAGAACAATAGAATTGAGCAAGAAGAGGAAGACCAGCAAGAAAGTCGCATTGTAGATGCACCATGGGATATTGCTGGATCAGCAACCTTCAGACTATCACAGACACAAGCACCAGAACCACCAGCGGCCACCAGACTTCAAAGAGGTAGAAATGTCCAGACAAATCCAGAACCAGGGGCTTATGCAGCTGCTGGTGTGAATTCTCATCAGCACCCAGAGTTTTCTATTATGTGGGAACTTGGAAACCTGCCAAGTGGAAACAGTGAGAATGTACAGCCTTTTGGTGGCCGGGAAGGAGGGCTGGTGGAAGCCAGAGCTGTGAATGATGAAAACCCTGAGCTAGTTCTGACAGAAGCAAGAGCAGTGGAATCAAAATCTAGGAATCACGAGCTGGTTCCTTATGGGCCACTGGGAGTAGGACTGCTTTTGGTGGCTGCTCTCTGTACAGTTGTGGGCCTTTTTGTGGGCATCAAGAACAATGGGCTCCCGTCATCAGAAGATGCCACTGCCATGCCAACTGTGCCGCCAACAGCACCACCAACTGTATTCACTACAAGAGGTTTTATTCTCCAGACTGTGCTTCCCGACACTACTGCCAGGGCTGCAATTGCAGACCATAGCAGTAACACAACGGCATCTCCCCAAAGTCAGGCACTCGAATGGACCCTACAAGATCCATTTTTGGAGATATATCTGCAAGATCACCAACGGTTTCTACAGCGATTTGCTCTGGCAACTTTCTACTATTCTACCAATGGAAATGTGACCTGGGGAAACAATGAGAAATGGCTGGACTACAACCACCACGAATGCCACTGGTTCGGTAAAAATGATATTGCCTTTCCTCAACCAGATGATCAAATTACCTACCTAGAAGACTATGACCAGATGGTCAATAAGAACCCCTGTGAGCTGCCACCCAATGTGACAGTGCCCACAACTGCTACCTTGACTACTGAGTCTTCCTTCAAACATCTATGGATGTACACAAATCGATTGGATGGGACTTTGCCGATGGAAATATCATTTTTACAGTCCTTGCGGAGCATCTCCACCTATGTGAACCCCAATCTGAGGGGCAGCATCCCAACTGAAATAGGCGTTCTCACGAACTTGGAATTCATTGCTCTGCCGTTTTCTTCTCACACAGGGACTCTGCCAACGGAGCTGGGTCTGCTGACAAAGCTTCTTTTCCTGGTCATTTCCAACAATGCATTCACTGGCAGCATTCCCTCTGAACTGGGATTGCTCAATGTCTCATTGAGGACATTAATGCTGGATCAGAACATGTTTACGGGTACAATTCCAGAAGAACTCTACAATATAACCTACCTCAGGACTCTCTACATTTCTGAAATTCCATTGGAAGGGACACTTTCTACCAAAATTGGTCAGCTTACTAACATGTGGGATTTCCAAGCTGATTTGATGGCAAATGGTTTGTCAGGCACGGTAAGTGGGTGATGCTTGTACCATGTTCAGCTCTAGTGCCATTTGACTCACAACTAGCTCCACCTCCCGTTACAGATTCCATCGGAGATTGGAAAGTTGCATATGCTGAAACGATTTGTGGCCTATAACACCGATTTCACTGGAACAATTTGCACAGAAGTCGGCCTGCTCACAAACCGCCTTCGAGTTCTGGACCTTCACAGCAATTCCTTAAATGGCCCGATCCCTTCAGAGCTTGGGCTCCTTTCAACCGCAACTCAGGTATTTTTTGATGACAACATGCTCACCGGAAAAATTCCGACGGAGATAAATGGAGACAATTTGCCAGAGTTGTTTGCATGGGATGTGAGAGGGAATGAGGGCCTGGTGATCAACTCTGACAGTGACAACGTCACAAATTTTGATGTGTTTCCAGAAGAGTTTGGGGGGTGCTGGATCAATATGACTTTCATTGACCTGGATTGCCCTGTGATGTTGATCACTTCAAACGCATCCATCCGCTGCGATTTATGTAAATGCAGCTGCGCACCCAGAAATGAAGTAGCTGTTCCATAATATTGTGATTACAATATTTCCCGCACATACTAGCCGACCGAGCAGTCCAGTTGTTTCCGGCAAAGGGTCTCTACCCACAATGTCTCTTCCTACCACACAGCTTATATGGAGCTGCATCAGAGCACTTTGGCTGGGATGGCCGGTTGTATGGGGAAGATTGAATTCAACTTGGGCAAGAGTCCAAGATTGATGCTCCGAGATCGTTTCGGGAGGGCTGCAAACCGCAATCCAGTTGATAAAACTCTGCTAATTAGTTGCATATTTGACTGACGATTTCCCAGCTCTAGCTAGTAGACTACCAGTAGCCCCCCGCAGTCTCGCTGCCAGAGCTCTCTCACCCCCTTTACCGTGCTTCTGTTTCCTTTCCCTAGTCTAGTCGAGCCAATTTCAGTCAATGGATCGCTCCTGATACGCTATCTTTCTACAACACCACCTTGATCCTTTAGAAAAAATCTCCGGTCTTGGAGCTCGGCTGGTTTTCACATCACATCACCGTAGCGGAAACTGGACTCCTTTTTTAGGTGTCGCTCGTCGTCACAAATAGTCAGCGACCAAAGGTGGCTGATGGATCCTCGTAAAGGCGTCATTGTTGTTGTTGTGTCGAGTGGATTGTGCTGCACCGTAGTCAGTCATCGTGGATTACCCTAGTTTGCCGTCATGTTGCAGCTGTTGAAAGAATCAAAAAATGGGTTCCTTGGATGAGATAGTTGTTGTGACGATTGTCGGAATTCCCAGGCCAATTTCCATTGAAAACGGGTCCTTTCATACTGTCGGCAACCATCGTTGGAGGCACTGGAAACTGACTCGACAAGGCCTTGACAAACAAGCTAGGCTCTGGTTGCTGTAGGTGTGACCTTGACAAAGGAAATGGAATTGTCATTGCGGCGAAAGTGTCACCTTGCGGACGGTTGTCGACTTTCCATGATCAGAAAATGGTTTTTTGATGCAAGTCGGCACTCAAGGATGACTTGTTGTTGTTGGCAAGAACGGTTTCACACCGTAGTCGTTGAGGAGTAGTTTGCCGTGTTTCCCGCTGGTTTGGTCTGTACAGTACGGTATAGATGATGTAGCTTCGATGGAAGCAATGGCACCTTTCGAGAGCAAAATGAGCTTCGTGGAGGCGTCGGCAACAATCAAACGCGGATTGTACGGTAGGCGACTAAAGGTGGCTCGGAGCAAGCATGGTGGGATTCGCGTCATGGTGGCTCGTTGTGAGCGTGGAAGTAGCCCCGGCCAGCATTGTTTTGTTTTTCACTGTTGGTTTTGTTAGCAGAAAGCGAGGACGCGAATTTGTCATTATTACACTAATGGGAGATTGCTGGCAACGTGTTTGGCCGCGATGAGCTTGGTTCCGACTGGCCATGGAGGTGTACCGTATGATAGGAGGCTCCTGGGAGCGTGATGTTGGAAGAGAGCTTGTCATGATCCATGTCGTTGTTGGATTATGTTGAATTTTCGGCCATGGACGTGTAATCCGCTAACACTCGACGATCTCTCTCGATCCTTCTGGATAACGGTTCGGCTGGCTTAAATCACTGAACCGGTACATGCTCCTGCACCGATTGACATTATTTAGAGCTTTTGAGTGTCTGATTTCTGGGTTGCTGATATTAATTAATATTATACTAAAAAGATAAGCCCCATGTCCGCCGTTAAAGTGTAAAGTAAGTGAAGGAAGGACTTGTTTCTATCGGGAACGTAGCATTAATTAATTGAGTGCACGTAGGTTTAATATTTCTCCAGAAACCCTTTTTGAGGAGAATTCACAGTTTCTGAATGACACCCAGCACCCACTGCTGAACTACGATCGGAATATTGTGAGATTAGACTTAAAACTAGCGTTAAAGCGCCACGTCACACACGTGTGTATGTCACTCTCCTCCACTTTGAGGCAACAAGAGGCGCCGAGCATCAGTAACATTTAGAAAATCAATCAGGGGAACCTCAATAACTCGTACCGGTGGCAACCGGAGGTACTGGATGCTTTGGAAACACACGCCGAATGTTCAGTCGCTCGAACTGATGAGGACTGAGCTGAATCGTTACATTGCCATTGGTATGTACACGGGAAACTCGTTAGGGACCAGAAGCCGTAGGCTTCAACTTATCACTGAGACCGAGATACGCACGCTTGTAGACCAGATCATCAACCGCGTAGTCATAGGAAATGTGTTTAGCATTGGCCCGCAGCAATCGTTTGTCAACCAAGGATTGACGGTGTCGTTGCATGGTCAGGATGTCTGCATAAATAGGAATATCAAGAAACATATCTCGTTTGAAGGCAAGAGCACCAGGAGTGAGATACGCGTTCGTACTCTGCACGGAACAACGATGAGCATGCATTGCTTTCGCCAAGGTTTCGGAAATGACCTTGATCCCATCAGCCACACTCTTGGGATCGCGCGAAACCACAATGGTTCGCAATACTTGACCAATTGCCTGATGAGTCCGTTCAATCATCGAGTTACCTTGTGGATTACGAGGGGTCGAGTACCGATGCACCGCACCGTTCTTTTTCACCATCTTGATGAATTCCAGTTTGAACTCCGGACCGTTGTCTGTGACCACTTTCTGAGGTCGGGGATACCGAGCAAACCACGTATCTTCGACCACTCGAGCACCTTCTTCCGACGTTCGTCGCATGATAGGCACAATCTCTAACAAGTTTGTGCAAGGATCCACCATAGTCATGGCATTGAAAGTCAACGTTCGTTGTCGTAACTTCATCGTCCACGGACCAATTGTGTCACAATGGACTTCCTGCCAGGGCATCGCCGTAGCATCACGTGGAGCAGATTCTCCATAAGCACGTCGTGCTCGTTTGTTCTTCGCACATGCTTCGCACTGCTCAATTTGTTTTCGGACTTCGTCGCGAATACCTCTATGGTAGAAATGTGTCTTGATCGTTTGTTCTAAACGATCCATGCCTTCGACATGTGCCACGGACTTGTGATAGAAGCTGACCAACTTGGGAAGCAACTCTTTTGTCAGGACAATCTTGTCCTCGTCATTCTGATGAAAGCATATCAGCTCACTGTTTCCAAACATCTTCTTGAAAAATCGTTCCGGGTTGTCAACCACGGTCTGTTGCAAAGCTGCACTAGCTGCTTGGTACTCGGCGAGAACCGAGAAATTGTAGGGATTCCGTCCTTCACCGTCGAATGTAGGATGCTCCAGGAAAGATTCTTCCATACCACCGTCTGGATGATGCATCAGACATTCAGCCAACCTCTGAATTGCCTCCACAATGGAATAGCACCCGTCGCTAGATGTGGAGAGGGGATCGGAATCGGTAGTGTCACGATCTTCGCGAGAAGTGGGCACCCGGCTGAGGGCGTCGCCAAGAACGTTTTCGGGGCCCGGCTTGTAATGAAATGTAGGGCAAACTCTTCCAAAAGCAATCGCAAACTCATAACACATTGAGTTTGGAAAGCAGAAAGTTTGTGAGTAAGATTCTTATGATCAGTAAACACAGTGATGCGAGCTCCAAGCAACATAGACCGAAACTCTTTGAACATTTCGACGATGGAAAGCAATTCCTTTTCAATGGTAGTGTAATTCTTCTGCGCGGAATTGAGTTTGCGGGAGTAGTAAGCCACTATACGGCCGTTTTGTTTGATCGCACCGCCGAGTTGATAATCGCTGGCGTCCGTATCAATCTCGAAAGGCACGTTGTGATCAGGATATGCAAGCAAGGTATCAGCTGCTGCCAAGGCCTCCATGGCCTTGAAAGCCTGTTCTTGTTCGTCGGTCTACTCAAACTTCTTGTTCCCAATAAGCTTTGTCCAAGGAGCCAAGGTGTGAGAACGACGAGGCCACATATCACGGTAATAAGTCACCAGACCGAGGAACGAACGCAGTTGCTTGATATCAGTAGGAGCTTTCATGTCCAGGATGGCGCGCACTTTCTTCACTACAGGTTTGACGCCGATGGGAGTCAACCAATGTCCAAGGAAATCTGTTTCTTGCGCAGCCCATTCATACTTCAAAGAATTGATCGTGAATCCGGCTTCTTGGAGGATCTTGAGTACTTGATCGAGCTTGTCGAGATGAGAGCGCCAATCGGAACTGAAAATGCCAATGTCATCGATGTAAGCTTCGATGTCGTCTAGAGCTTTGAGTAATTTCTCCATGATTTCTTGGGCAATGTCGGGAGATTGAGAAACGCCCATAGGAAGGCGTCTGTACTTGTAAAGCCCAAAGGGCGTAGCAATGGTACACAATTCGGAACTGAAATCGTCAAGTTCGAAGGTGTAATACTGCATGGAAATGTCCAACTTGGTAAGGAAGGCATAGTTCTTGCGTTGTGCCAAGATATCAGCAATGCATGGAATTGGATAATCCTTGCGTTTGATTGCCTTGTTGAGACCACGAAAATCAGAGATCCATCTGACTCGACCATCCTTCTTAGGAATAATGAAAGTACCAGCAATCCATTCGGAACGACTGCCTTCTTCAAGGACTCCGATAGAAACCAACCTATCCAACTCCTTCTTGAAAATTGCTTGTTGGTGATGAGGAACAGTATAATGACGGCTTCGATGGGCAGGAACTGTTGGATCAATCTCCAAATGAATCTGTCCGTCTGTGTATTTACCAAGTTCAGGACTAAACAAGGTGTCATACTTCTCAAGGACATCACGAAGCTCGTTCTGCTGTTCTTGAGAGAGATGAGTGCAGGACCGAACCACTGAGGTAATGTCGGCCCCCTCATACTTGGATTCGAGAATGTGTTTGGTCTTGTAACCCAAGTCAGCTGCCTTCTGTTCTTCTTCGAGAGTTGCAAAACATGAAGACTCTTTTTCGGATTCGGGGAGCATATCGTCCAAATCGTCATCCAAGTCGTCTTCAGAGCAATCTGTAGAAGCCACTGTAGGCAAGGTGTCATCATCTTCGAGATCCACTTCGAGGAGATCAAGGAACATAGATGTAGCAGGAGGAGTCTTCTTGTCAACCGAAGATGCAGGAAAAGGTCTCATGTCGATGCTAACCTCGTCCCA